TTTATGTCTTCCCCCACCAAGCTCTAAGCTCTTGCCAGGGATCAAGTATTTGTAGCCCCACCATGAACCTGGCACAGAGTTGGCCTTCAACAGTAGGTGTGGAAGAATAATTGAGTAACGAGCCTCGTCTATTAGACGTGTAGGAACTAGCAGCCTTTCTGAGCTATTCTATATCCAGTGAGATCAAAGAAGAGAATTCATCCTGAGGATGGATTTACATAGATGAACGGCGCTTACTGGTTTTGTGTTTTAGAGTTCCAGGCTGTGCTGGCTGTGTCTATCAAGGCATTGAGGGTCGATGACAATGAAGCCATTTAAGGCAGGTGTGACTGTGATAACAGGTGAGCAGTTAAAGGCAATACTTGAGTATTTACTGCACAATGGATCGGTTGCTACAACCTTGCTTGAATCCATGTACTCTCAGAGATTTTGCTTCCTTGGCTCCAGTGATCACCGCATTACTCCCACCCGACAATGGCTTCCATGCATAGACATGCCCGTACCAGATGCCCAGAGTGGAAGTGGCCAAAAATTTTCCACAGAAGACCCACCCCTGCTAAAAACACCCCAAAATATTGTGCTCGAAAGGGCCCACTTTTGTTGATTCCCTTCTGGTGAGGACATGCAGTCCAAAAGCACTACCAGCTTACCGTGCTGAACACCCATGATGCGGGTGGTTGCTTGATGACAAGAACGATCACCTGGAGGGACGTGAAAGGGCTCCTTCCTGATTAATGCAGAGCCTCAAAGGCAGTCTGAGACTGCCCAGCAGCAGGACAAATCCTGACCGCTGTAACTGAGTCTCATCACATTCTTTATAGTGTGGCTGTTTACGGCAGGCAAAGAACTTGTGTGATATAAGGCTTTACAGATAGCTTCAAGTTTTGGTTGAGCCAGGGACCATTTCTAGACGCCGTCCTTCACAAAAGAGATGCTAGGGGAGTGAGCAGTGTCCACAATTACCATGTTAGTGACAAATAAAGCAAAATGTAGCAAAAGAGGTGGACTGTAGGAAGGCCTACTATTCAACACATGTCCTTTTGAATGTCCAGGAGCTTAGATTCTGTAGGAAACCCCACTACTAAGAAATACTGAAAGAACCCGAAAATTGTGTGAAGGGAATCTGAGTCTCTTAAGAAACTACAGGATCAACACAAACACATATTAAATTACTAATTGGTTAACCTTTTTATCCAGTATGACTCTGCAGTATGTCTAACTCCACATACATATCTACCCCCAAAAGTTATGCTTTGAGACTATTTTTGTCTCAATTTTCATAGCACAGCATTTTGGCTTCGTATGTCTACAACGCTGGTGAGTGTAATTATACTTACAAAGTAGCATGAGCCACACTGTTCGCTAATTTTATAATTAAAACAGAAGGCTTTCTTCCCATCTTAATAGACTGAGAAAATATTTATTTTCTTCATTTGGATTGGAAAATAAACCAAGACAATGAAAAACGCAGACGATCCAGTGCCATGCAGATAATCCTCCTTCAAAAACGTTCTGTCATTTATTGAACACTTTTTTGATTGCCAGAGGGGTGTTAAACATTTTTTATTCTTACGAACTTTATGAGGTAAACCCCTTAACAGATGAAGAAACTGAGGCATAAAAAGAGGTTAAGGAAGTTGCCCAAGGTTACAGGTAGGAAGTGATGAAGCACTTGGCTTGGCAGGATTTGCTTTTTGTTACCAGGTTTCCGTATTATTATTTTCTCAAAACTTTCACATGCACACCTGGGGAGCTTGTTAAATGCACATTCTGGTTCAGTTGGTCTGGAGTGGGGCCTGAGATTCTGAATTTTTAACAAGCTCCCCAGTGACGTCGAATCAGCTGATCCTCAGAGACCACACTCCGAGTAGGGAGGTACTATGCTACTGCAAGGAGCCCTGGTGGCGCAGTGGTTAAGCACTCAGCTGCTAACCAAAAGGTCAACAGTTCAAACCCACCAGCCACTCCACAGCAGAAGGACGTGGCAGTACTACTGTCCTACAGAGTCGCTGAGTCAGAATTGACCGGATGGAAACGGGATACTCCCACAAAGCCAAATGCCAAGCTCCTTCTTTTTCAACAGAATGGTGTGATATTTTGAGTTAGAGTCAGAAGCCCTTAATTGATTCTTTGACCCTGATACACTTGAGACAACATGGAGACAAGAAAGATATAAATTCAGAAGCAAGAGTGTTATGGAACGCATACATTTCCATGTATTTTTACAGTAAAAATGCATTAAAAAATCTTTCACAAAAGAAACTTAAAAAATACAAGTAGGGTGTTGAGCTCTCCCCCAACATTCTTTCAGGCATCCACTGTATAACGGGGGGAGGGGAGTTCCTAAATGATTTAATCATACAAAACACTCATCCATCCTCTCATCAAGACATCTACATGAAGTGGGGGTCAGGGAAAGCAGGCTCACAAGAATCAGTCTCCAAAGTAAGGTTACAGCAGTTCAGAGAAAATTATAGCTTCCTGCTTAATGCATAGTCCCTGTACAGTACAATATTTCCAAAGCAAACTGAAGTGTGGAATTCAGGTGAAACCACCACACCAAAATCTTCACAGACTGAGACAAGCCCAGCTGAGTAGCACATAGATTTTAAAATGTCAAATATCATCTCTCACAACAAGTAAGACATCACGATGTGAGCTTCAGGATGCACTCCAAAATTCACCTTGATTTCATTTGTTTAAAAATATGGACCACAATTGACAGCATCAGTCATTTCATATCACAGACTTTTCTAGAAATAGAAAAATCCTAGCAGTGGAGCCTTAGGAATAAAATCTCCAGGTTGGCTCTTAGACAACTGATAGAACAGAACATCATTATTCAGTTGTGTTCTTCAACCTTACTACCACTGCTCAATGCATATCTTGTATGGAAAACTACTTGATAATAAAAATACCATTCACAGACTTTTTCCTCCTTTTTAGCTACAGAATGTACATTGTGTCTGCTCCAGGAAAGGAACCTGTTTTGTGAATTCCACACAACTACAGTTACTCAATCTAATGTTATGGATAAAACCATAAGTCAAATAAAGCTATGAACAATGTAATATTTATATATGCATAGTGTTTTACAAAAAGATTGGCCCATCCACACAGAAAGAGCATTAAGTCCATAGCACTCGGCAAAAAATAATGAGTGAAGAACAGAGAATGCAAATAGGTGCTCAACAATTCACAAGCAAGCTCACCATGGAGGAAACAATGATAGTCAAATCAACTAAAGCTTTAGAGATTTAATTATATAGTCTCCCATTTTAAAAGAGCTTTACATACCTGATTAATTTACATTAAAATAGATCCCCACGAACCAATTTGTTTCATATTCAGAAATATAAACACATATCACATTCCTCACAGCTAAATTTTTGTCATAAATTCTCTTTTATACAAGAAAAAAAGGCAACAGGTTTTTTTTTTTTTTCCCAACAGACTATTAATTACAATTTTTAACTCTGTACACACAATGATTGGCTGGTTTTCTCTTTTTTTTTTTTTTTTCTTTTATAACAGTACCATGGGAACAACAGTGATTGACTTGCAAAGCTTTGTGTCTGTATAGAAGATGCGAAACAGTACTCTGGAAATACACAATGCACGGTAAGCAGCAGTTTGCTGTAGTGGTCCAACAGGTACAAGCAAACGTTTTGGCTCAGCTAGGCAGTAATCCATTTAAACCACATCCTGCGGCTGCAGCAGACCCAGTCATACCTCCTGCAGGATCACAAAAGAATGGGTTGCTGAATTAAAAAGAAAATTCTTTATGTTTCTTTGTTCTGTTGTCCAAAGATGCAAAGGACAGGGTCATGAGGGCAGAGGTTTCCCAACCAGATCTAGAATTATTGGGATCGCTTCCTTCTTTCCCCATCGATCATCCTGGAGACTTTTCTTACGATTTCAAAGTGAAATCAGCCTTTCTAAGAATGAGCACCTCCAGCCCTCACTTCTTCAAATATCAACAGACAGGTTCCTTCCACCAAGGCTCATTCCCTCATTCCCAGTCTGGCAAAGGACAACCACTGGCTTACGACAGACAGGAGAAGCCTATCTTCCTTACTGGAGATTTTCATGTCCCCCTCTCTCCCCAACCCGAGTGGGCATGTTGTCTCCCGCTCCATCTACTATCCAGCATCAAATCAGACAAGACAACACGGAAGGTGTTTTTCATCCTTTCCTTCTAGTAGTTGAGCAAAGCTATGATGGCACCACCTTAATGAGATCTTATTTGATGTTGGTGATGCCAGTGAGCCTGACCATCTGTGCTGGGGCTGTTTGGGTAATGGCGGCCAACCTTTTGGCCTCTGTGTCTCTCTAGGGCCAGGGAGAGTGCAAACTGTTTTCTGGACCAACAATAAGTGGAGAGCATAACATTTCTTTGTGCTGTGTAGCTTTTCTATAAATATCCTTCATTTGCAACAGTCGTCTCTTCAAATAGTTTGCTTACTTTTACGATCATCAGCAATCCTAATCCATCCCAAACAGTCCCTAGCTTTTACCAATAGAACTTTGCCGTTTTGCTCTTTTAAGAAAAACTTTCTAACTCCAGTATAAGCGCTAAATCACTACATGAGTCTATATCAAATTAATTAAACTTAATCAATGATTTCCCTTACTTAGAGAAAATTACTAACAGCCCCATTTAACCAGGAGAGGAAAAAAACGCCCAAAAAAAGGGAACAATTCTTGACAATTCTACAGCTTATGTAGAAACAAAATTTATATCCCTTTGGGCTAGCATTTGGCAAATAATTTCCAAAAAAAGTATGCATTTAAAAATACTTTCTTTAATATTATACATCAGGCACGACACTTTTCATATATTTGTTTTTCTTCTAAGATTTCAAATGCATAAAATGTTGCTATTCATAGGATCCTCAGGTGTCAGGTGCTTCATCAGGTAAGAAACTAAATTATTTCAGGTTTGTGACCCTCCTCTTAAAACCTTTGACACAGTAAAGGTTGGAATGTGACTCAGCACCTCAGATACTGAGGTCGGTGCTACATTCTTTGTAAGGTCGCCGTCTCTGCTCCGGGGGATGTCTGGAACTTCCGCCGGCATCCTGTCTCAGACTCGCCTCTTCCCTCTCTCGGCGGCTGACTCTGTCCTCTCTGTTCCTCTTCTCAAGTGACCGCTCTCTCCTCCTCTCGGGAGACTGCGCTCGCCTCCGCTCGGTGGATTTCGCTCTCCTTTCAGGAGAGCCTGCTCTCCTGCGCTCTGGAGACCTTCTCTGATCCAAGAGTCTTTCCAGAGACCTCCTCCGACGGCTGGGCGAGCTGTCTCTCCTGCGGGTGGGTGACCGCTCCCGCCTCCTCTCAGGAGAACCCTCTCTTCTCTTCTCATGCTTCTCCCTCCTTTCCAAAGTATTGTCAGCGCTCCGGGGGCCTTCCCTCCGCTTCTCTGGAGACCTCCGCTTGGGTCCGTTGGCCACCACCCGCTCAGGTGGTGTCTCTCTTCGTCCCTCTGATGCCCGGTCCTTGGGTCGGCATGCCTCAGGGTCGGGTTTTTTAGAAGTTCCATTCCACGTGTGGTGTTCACTGGGCTGTCTGCTACGTTCCCTGCTGCCTTTTGGGTCTTTGACGTGTGCCCTCTTTTCCCCATGTTGTGATGATTTGTGAAGGTCGGGTGGATAACTGGACTCCAACGATGGATGCTGCTGGCGGTCAGATGGCCCTGCTCTCATTTCCGGAACACCTTGTGGACTGGTGGGGGTGCCGTGCCGGTCGCTGCTGGGGTCTGCAAGGAGAATAAATGAGAGCCACAGTTTGGTATGAGGACCTTCAGCTCCTGCCACCACTCCCACACTTGAGATCCCATTAGTCACAACAAACAAACAGCTGTTAAAGCAGTCAGAACTGAAGGCAGCTGAATCTTGGTTAATTTAAGAACTGCAACTAGTCAAGGTTATAAACTAGTACTTATGGCTTTCAGCATCTAACCTATTCTCTACACTCAAGACATAGATCATTAAAGAACTTAAAGCCAGTCATAATTTTAGCCTTTAAAGGCACAATCCAAATAATCTATCTAGAAGTATCAAAACTTCCCACCTTAACTATCTTTTGCTCTTCTTTCCCCACACCACACCCCTCTTCCCCTACCCACCCCCTTTCCCCACGCTGACTGAAGTAAACATGCTTCCCTTTAAAGAAAATTTGTTTAAAAATAATCTGGGGTATTGGGCCGAAGGGGCACAAGTGAACTTTCTGGAGGTATGGAAATAGTCTATACCTTGATCTTGGAGGTACCCTATCTGTATAAATGGGTGTCTATAGAGGTAAATAATTCATAATTCTGTATTCAGGAATTATGCATTTCACTGAATGTAAAGTATACTTTCATTAAAAAAATAATCCAGGGTGATGAGTAAAGGGGGTTATAAAGGCAAAACATTAGCCAGATGCTGATGATTAAGTGTCAGGTATACGAGGATCTGTTAGCGATTCTACTTTTGTGTAAGTTTAAAAATAAAAATAAGGAACTGTTATTAAAATTTGGAGTCTTCTAATAGATAAAAAGGATGTCATAGATAAAAAAGAGGCTGCCGGGTACACACGGGCCTCAGATAAAGTCTTCAGAGGCACTTTACCTTCTAATGTACGAGGCAGCCATAATTACAACCACAAGCTATGGAGTTACTGGATTGCTTCTTCTGCCATCAAGACACTTACAGATTTAAAAGCAGGGCAGCCCACGGGGGTTCCTATTTATTGTTACTAAACTGTCTGAAACGACACTTAAAATATTCTAGGCGGCATCCTGAGCTCACGAGAGCTCTTTTCAAATCAGGACTGCTGGGCTGCAACCAAACCCGTCACACACAATATACTATTCCAGGCAAGGGACTGTGCCGTGATCACTGCCGTGTGGATGGGGCCAGTGTGACAGTCAGAGATGAGGGATTTGTGGGTGCTCTTTAAGGAGCTTTCATGAGGCGACAAGGTCAACTTCAAACAATCTGTTTCATGACTGACTTCTCAACACCTAGGATAGGTTTTAACAAAAGCAGGAATGTATCCTAGAGTGGGGGTTGGTAAATGTTTTCTATAAAAGGGCCATATGACACACATTTTTTGCTCTGTGGGATATACAGTCTGTGGCAACTACTCAGCACTGCCTCGGGAGTGAAAGCAGCCGTAGGCAACACATAATGACATGGGCATAGCTGTGTGTGTCAATAAAACTTTACTTACAGAAACAGACTGCAGACACAATCTGGCCTCGGGAGTGAAAGCAGCCGTAGGCAACCCATAACGACATGGGCATAGCTGTGTGTGTCAATAAAACTTTACTTACAGAAACAGGCTGCAGACACAATCTGGCCTCGGGAGTGAAAGCAGCCGTAGGCAACACATAACGACATGGGCATAGCTGTGTGTGTCAATAAAACTTTACTTACAGAAACAGGCTGCAGACACAATCTGGCCCATGGGCTGTAGTTTGCAGATAGATCTCTGACCAACCAGGAGATCTCATCTTCCTGTCTAGCAAAGCTCTATCAACCTAGATAACAGCTCTGTGATCGGAGGGTCTTTCTTTCTAAATACTGGGTAGGCTACTAGAATGAACATAAACAGATTCATACAAAGTCATTTTCACATTTGGGTGAGGGCAGGTACTTAGACCACTATCATAAACCTAGCCTTGGTGTTCCTTACACCTACTTTTAAGACAAGGGAGAGCAAGACATTCAACAGGGTCAGCGGTGTACTTACAATTCAAAGAAGGCAGGGTGCTCAGAATGAATTGCCAAACACATCAAAATAGAGCTAAGCAGAAGCAATGAGGAAATTAGGCCACAGCACAGAAACACCTAGTATTGATTGAGCTACAAACCGTAGTTTGATTATGGCCCATAAGGTAGAAGCAAGCCTCCCCGAGCTTTTCATTTCTCATACATGCAGCGATATTAGGAGGTATCATCGCTGTGGAAGGGAGGGCCCAGCACCAAGAACAGTCAGAGAGAAAGAGAAGGAGAGAAAGAGAAAAAGTTGAACGTTTAGATTCCCTATAACAAAGAGGAAAGACAAAAAAATCTGCATTTGTTAACACAGGGCAAAGAGAGTTTATTTGTCCCGTCAGACAGTCTAAGGCAACACTCAAATAAGGCTGCAGAGACCGCAATGAGAACAGTGACGTGTTCAGACAGCCACTGGTGACTCGAGAACCCAGACAACGGATGCACCCATTTTTTTTTTTTTTTCAAACAACTGGAACAATGACAGGCTGGCATAGAGAGCATTAACAATAAACAACAAAAGAGCAACATTCCCTCCCTCCCTCCCTCCTCCCCAAAGACCGCGGCAGTTAAATTAAGTACAAAAAACTCATTACAAAAATAGCCTCACAGAGAAGCAGGTTCCAATCAAGTCAGAAAAATATTGGAACTTAACATATTAGAACCCATTTGTGAACTCTCATCAATAGAATTAGAGAGATTTAGTCCAAATGATACATGGAAACTTCACAGCAGCACGACTCTGGCATGTTCCAGCCTTCTTGGAAAACCGCGTGTTTATTAAATGATCTTTATTTTTAGCCCAAAGAACATTTGTTAGTGTTGGATTTCCATCCTCAGTGCAACAGACACAGGTTTTGAGAAGGTACACAGGTTACTGACGATGACTCTCAAATGAAATATTACATCCAACAGAAGCATAGGGAAGACAGAAAAGGAGACAACGTTACAGAGGTTCATGGCATCAACACACCTATTGGTGGGAGGTTAGTACAGTGCACAGTCGTGGCATCTTACTTGTCAAAATCATTCCCATGGTGGTCGTCCACGTCTAAAGGGGCCTCAGCTGATACCCCGTCCCACCTTGGAGGCCTGGTACTTTACACCTGTATGCACGTCCACCACTTGGGAAGGCTGCCCTTCCAGGTGGCTATCTTTCTCCTTGAGCTGCTTCTGAATGAAGCATCCCATCAAGTCCAAAAATGCAACTGGGAATTGTGTAGGATGCTTTCAGAAAAGAGGGTGATAACAGATAAATCCCTAATAAAGGGGACCAACATATATGGGGACCATTCAATCACAGTTTCTATAGAAACTTTTGTAGACCTTTGGTTGGGAAAAAAAGCCCTACATCTAGGGCATAGCTTTTTTTTTTTTTTTTTCATTTTAAACAAGAATCTCAAATAAATAGGACTTAATTATTATAATATACAATATTTTCCCATCAGAACACTAAGCTATGTAAAGATCATTGCCGTCTACTCAAATGATGTCTACAGATAGGACAAAGGAAGTCTAAGTATAACCTGGCTTTCCTCACAGGAAAGGTATAGTAACATGTTTCCCTCATGATGAGCACTGGGAATCTCTTTATTTCATCCTTTATCATTTAAAAACATATGGCTAATATGTCAACAAGTTTTTTGTTTGTTTGTTTTACAGTAGTGGGCTCAGGTGATCTGATCTGGGAGAAGGAACCCATTGTGGGGGATGGAGAAGAGTTGTATACGGAGCATAAAGGAGGTGAGCAGAGCCCCCAAATCATCTCATTATTTCACACCTCTTAAATAGTGACATCAAGTAACCAAACAAGAAATAAAAAATTTGTGCCTCAACATATCACTCAGGAAACCTGCTTTCCTGCTTCTTAAAAGAGTCATTTTGTGCTAACAATTGGATCTGAGAAACAGTTTGGCACAGTTCAAACAAACATTCCTTCGCTCTTGGTTGGACTAGACAACATGTTCTGATTATCAGAAAGGGGGCTATAAGGATCTCGTCTTAGGCCATGCCCCAGTCCATGTTAAGCAAGCAAAAGGATGAAATGTGTAGAGATTTCAGGACAAGCGAGGCAAATAATCACATGGTGTGAAAGGCTGGTAAGACACTGGTGAATGGGGGAAACAAAAAGAATTTCCTGCTGCCGTTCTGGAGACAAATTCACGGAGTCATGCCAGGGAAGGAAGGAAGGTTTTCATAGTTTGACCCACCATATTCTGGCACCGAGCCATCTCCCCTCTTCAGAAGCAGACGCACTCTGCGGCCACCACTCTTAATCAGTTCTATAGCCCGAGAATGCTTCATGTTCTTGGTGGTCTCGCCGTTGATCTCCAGAATTTCATCACCAATCTGCCCAAGCAGTGAGAAGTGAGAAGGTCACAAAAGGTTTTCACCGGCTCTTAAGGTCCTTTAAGATTTAAAATTACTTCATTTATTGAATCAACAAATATTTATCGAGCATCTATTATGTTCCAGAAAATCTTCTACTACTTAGGATACTCAGTCAAAAAAAAAAAAAAAAAAAAAAAAACCCATAAAAATCCCTGTCCCTATGGAGACTGAATTCTAATGAGGGAAAGACAAATTCACAAGAAAAATACATGTAGGTAGTGACCAAAATAAGGGGAAAAAATTAAGCAGCAAAGAGGAATAGTAACACTTGAGGGAAGAAGGATGTGGTAGAAGCTTCTAAGATGACTCTCAATTAATCCGACTCCTTGAATTCATGGCCCTGTGAAATCCCCTCCCTTTGAGTATGAGCCTAGGGACTTGCTTCTAAAACTAGAATATGGCAAACATGATGGGATGTCAGCTCAGAAATGAAGTTACAAAATTATACTGGCTCTATCCTCCCTGCCCTCTTATGCTCTCTCACTTGTTTGTGCTGACGGAAACCAGTTGTGGACTGCCCTATGGAGGCGCAGGATAAGGAAACGAGGGAGAGCTCTGGCCAACAGCCTGAGAGGCACTGGATCCTACTCACTGCCACATGAGGGAGCTCAGAAGCAAATCCTCCTCTGTCAAACCTTCAGATGAGACCACAGCCCCAGCTGACAGACTGACTGCAGCATTTAGCCACTGTTCTAGGCACTAGAGATACAGCAGTGAGCAAGACAGGCCAGATCCCTGCTCTCATGGGGCTTATACTCTAGAAGGTAGAAGAGAAAAAGCCCCAAAAGGCTTTGCAGTCAAAAGGCTTGAATTTGAGTCCCACCACTACCAGGGCTCCGTCGTGTAAAGAGTGATAACAATGCCCATGCCTACTGAGATGTGGGGATCAAATCCGATAACACACAAAACATGTCTCATCAATTACACAGCATTACACAAAATATTATGATAATGATATTTCCTTAAACTAGAATTTTTTAAGTGATTAAGGGCAAGGGAAAGCATATGCCACGTGTTTGAAATTTAAACAAAAGGAATTTATGCCATTGTATAGTAGATGATTTATTTTTCCCTCAGTCATCTAACCTGCCCACAAGACAGGAGCGTTCATATATAGCAACGGAGATTAGACATCTAGACAGAGCAGGGCGGACTTTTGGTATCTGTGTATTTAAAATCTGCAACTTTAACTACTACACAGCAAACACGACTATTCATGCCATTGGGTCGCTGGCCCTTTGCTAAGGCAGAGTCAACTTGCTTTTTCTGAGGCTTTTAGGACAGCTGGTGACCAGCTAGAGAATGGATGGAGCTCATCACCCAGCATCTACAGGGTCATGTGGTTTTCCTGCTTTCTGGGTGGTGCAAACGGTTAACATGCTTGTTTGCTAACCAAAAGGTGGGAGGTTCTGCCCAGATTGCCTCGGAAGAGAGGTCTGATGATCTACTTCCAAAAAATCAGTCACTGAAAACCCTATGGAGCACAGTTCTACTCTGACACACATGGGGCCGCCATGAGTCAGAATTGACTCAGTGGTAAGCATCCTGGGTGCACAGGGGTTCCTGCAAAGTGATGCGCCTGCCTCAGGCGAAGCACAAGTACCAAGCAAATGGGATTCAGAAAAGACCTACTTTAACAAGTTTATTAATGAATTTAATCCTTCATTCAATCCCAAAGAGGGGAAAGGGCTTACCTAACTTTAGCAGCTACAACTAACTGTGCTTTAGGTGAGAAATATACTCTAGGGTGGGAGCCATGCTTTGGGACTATCTTAAAAGCTGTAGAAAATGTAATTCTCTTGAACACAAGGCCTCTAGCCAGCTATGTCAAGAAGTCATAAAGATGACTGATCTACATCTACTCCGGACTCCTCTTCCTACTTACCCTCATCTTCCCACACCTTTCTGCAGGACCGTCCTCTGCTAAGCGCAGGACATAGAGGTCCATGTTATACTCTCGGCCCCCTCGAAGGCTGAAGCCAAATCCCTTGGCCCCTCTTTCCAGCTCCACCGTGTAAAAATCTTGCTCCTATTTAAAGAAATTAAATGGAGTCATGCTGGGAGAAGCCATAACCACCCACATTTCTCTCCATCTCTACCCAAACATTCTCCATTATGTTGAGTTGGCAAAATGGCATAGTCTCTATCCCTCTCTGGGTGATTCTCAGTGGGGATGCAATTGGCATCTGGGGCAGGACAATTCATTACATGCTACCATCCCACACACCCTGACGCTCAGCCTCCCGCCTCATGCCTGATAAATGTAAAAACCCATTGCCGTTGAGTCGGCTCCGACTCAGAGCGACCCTAAAGGACAGAACAGAACTGCCCCATAGGGTTTCCAAGGAGCACCAGGTGGATCTGAACTGCCAACCTTTTGGTTAGCAGCCGTAGCTCTTAACCAGTATGCCACCAGGGTTTCCTGATAAATGTAGCCTCCGTCATTGTGACACCAACAACCATGTCACCTCCCACATCTGGTAAGGGCTCCCCTCCTGGTCGAGAGTCACGAATGCACCACTAAGGGCTCTCCAAGAACCAGTACAAAAGAAGCTATTTAACTTTGCCTCACCCAGCGTTTCCCAAATTTGCTTTCCTTCCTATTATTTGAACACCGCCCATTACCATCCTGAGGGACAAGCATTTAGCTTAGGGGTCTCACTTAAAATTCATAAGACTAAGAAACATCTTCAAAAGACACTTTCTGGGCATAAATATGCTTATGAATTTTACGAGTAGCTTTGCTCTTTCTCGGATCACCAGTTCTTGTGAAAGTTTTTCATTTGCTTTTTTTCCTCCTAGAAAAGGATACCTAGGAATATTTTTCAAAAGTCATAACATAAAATGTCATTTCCTAGACAACCAAATGTGAGTACATTTTTGGCAAATCACCTCACAAAAGGTTATTTATTTTAACTGAGGGTGCCTTTAAAAATATCTTGTAAAAACAGCCTCGGAAAAGTGGAAGGAAAGGTGTAAACAGAGAAAAGAGAAGTAGCTCTAACCTGTGTCGCCTGGGGCGCTTTGAACTCAAACTGACATTCCTGCTTTGGTTTGGTGGTGTTCCTGCCAAAGGGAGAAAAATAAACATAAAGAGGAACCCACGGGGAAACTGAGGATGAGTCGAGGATACGCATCGTCACGCCAGGAGCTACTTTTCCCCTGAAACTAGGAAAGGAACCCGAGCCACTCTGACCTTGCGTCCTGGGCTCCTTGCTGAGAAGGCGTGTGTGTGGTGGTGATGGTGGCAATCTTCTCCGCATTGGTCAGCAAGGTAGCGTTCGAGGACTCTGCAGGGTGCAAGAGAGCACAGAGAAATGAAGGCGCTAGAGAAGGGACAGTCAAAGGAGGGTGCAGAAGCCCAGTATGACAAATCTGGCACCCCCTAAAACCATTTCAAACTGTTCTGACTTGAGTTTCTAAGCAATTAGAAATGTAAAGAACCATTCTAAGACTTTCTACAATGTGGGCCATGGATACCCCTCTACCCTCCTCCCAATCAGACATCCCTGTGGATGAAACGAGAGTTTGCCAAACAAGATGCTGCTCTAACACTGTCGCCAAGTACTGTCTCACTCTGCCCTTGACACTTCAAAATGGCAGCCCTATGAAAACAGGGCACCACACCAGAATTATCTTCCAGGATTGTGTAAGCCGGTAATAAATCTCTGCGAACATTTCCTGCAAGTTATCGGCAATATTTGGTGAGTCTGCTTGATTTCCTCATGTGAATGTTAAACTATGACGTGTGCTAACATCTTGTTAAACATACACAATATCCACTTTCTTACCCATTGCGTTTGATGAAGTACAACTGAAAATGTGGGACTCTTGGCAGATCTCTTCTAGTATCACTCATGAAAGATTCATTTTAAAACTTGCATCAGTCACAGCCACAGTTTGTAAGAATAAGTGGTACAAATCATAAAGCCACCCTAATGTAATGAGTATGATTATACTCTTATGTAAATTGACTTTTTTTTCCACTAACCACGTTCATAAGCAACATCATTAATCTCTCGAAGTCTGGAGATCCAGAACCTGAAAACACCCATGCGGGTGCCTACAAGCTGCACACCAATATCCATATACTAAAATTTAATCATTCATCTAGTAATGGTTATACGCTCTTTTACTGATTACTTCTCCATCAAGGTCAAGGCAGGTAGCAACCACCTATGAGCAAGTTGCACTTCTAGTATTTATTTTCAAGCTGACTATTTGGAACTTGGCATGCATTTTTCTAACCAAGAAAACACTAAGTGTGATGGATAGCTGGTAAATGCCCATTTAATTCATAGGAGTCTAGAAGTTTCCAGGGTCCTATGGTTCACAGTAGGTGCTCTAGTGTTTGCTGAATACATGTATCTACCCACGCTATATGACAAGGCTTCTACGGGAAAGCATGGTATGCCTGGAGCATATCTCTCTCCACTACAGTCCCAGGACAAAAGATTGCGCTCAAATCCCAACTACCTGTGGTCTATCTTATATTTTAATTTCCTAAGGATAGTATTCAGCTGGGGTCTGGCTTCCTGTTATTTTGTTCTCATTACAAATAGTGTTTAAAAGCATGGGCTTGAGAGCCATGTGCCTCACTGTCCTCATCTGATAAAACGGGATGATGACAATCATTGCCTTCTCATGGGTGAAAGTATTTGAAATGTTCAGTATAGCGCCTGACAACACAACAAGCACTCAGTGCACGTTTACTGCTGCTCTTGCCCTTACTACGCCACAACTTTTTATCACTTTGGGAACGTAAGTGATTTATGCTATCTGCAAAATGAGAAAGCTGAAATATGATTTTAGTAGTTTACAGTCCAGCCATAAAAGCCCATGATTCTTATAGCTACACCACAAGATTAAAAAATATACATACAACTAGACCAAGTGAATTTTTACATGAATCTTATTCCTGCTTTAGGGCAATGTTTCTCCACTCTGTCTTACTAAATCTTTCTATGAATTCTGAGGGAAAACAAACCTGTGGTCTCTTAAATTCGGAAAGTGACAGGTGGCACAAAGGTCAATGTTTTTGTGTGTCTGTGTTTTGTTTTTCCTGTGAGACTTCTCAGCACCTTTAATATTCCAATGTGCCTTGTGAACCTCCAAGTGGGGGTGGTGATGTTTCTCAAGCTTATTGGGAGGCTGTTTAGCAAAACTGTAATATTCTGGAGTCAGACCATCTAGCTTTGCATCCCAGGCTAAACTCTCTGTCCTCAGTTTCCTCATCTGCACACTGGGGATAACAGAAGTATCTATGTGAATTGTTACAAGGATTATCCAAGAGGAAAGTGTTTGAGATAGCACCTGGCACATCAAAACTGCTCAAAAAGTGATTAGCGTATTTGGAGCCCTGGTGGTGCAGTGGTTAAGAGCTCGGCTGCTAACCAAAAGGTCAACAGCTCAAATCCACCAGCTGCTCCTTGGAAACGCTATAGGGCACTTCTACTCTGTCTTCTTGGGTTGCTATGAGTCAGAATCGACTCGACTGCAACAAGTTAGTATATATTTATTATACTATTCAATATTAAAAGTATATTATTAGTGAAGTGGTGGCACAATGGTTAAGTGCTCAGCTACTAACCAAAAGGTTAGTGGTTTGAACCCACCAGTGGCTCCTCGCGGGGAGAAAAAGATCTGCCGATCTGCTCCGGTAACAATCACAGCCTAAGGAACCCCATGGGGCAGTTCTACTCAGCCATACAGGGTCGCTAGGAGTCAGAACTGACTCGATGGCACACAACAACAACAATGTAATATTGGGGAAAAAAAAACAAAAACCTTTTTCAGAGCCTTTGGAAGGATACTAACTCCTTCCAGTCACCTCCATTCCAGGGCAGTAAACTGGCAGAGCCCAGGTAACACACATAGGTGATATTTCATAAAGAATCCCCACTGTGTCGGCACAAAGAACCAACTGGCTGCTCCCCCTGTGTCAGTACGACTCGCTAGGACTTTCACAAACACACGTGTTGGTCCTTTCACACTGTTCACATTGCTCGCTGTAAGTAATTCTACGGAGACTCTGGGAAATCACGGGATCATTCAGGCCACGGGGAAATCATAATCAAGATACCAAAAAGAAGGTTTCCTGGTAATTAAAGGTGACTGTAATTACTGAGCTGTGCAGACGCTCCCTTCAGAGTTCTGGGATGCTGTCGGCAGCCAGGGTTTTCTTGGCAGACCAGATCCCATTCTCAAACAATTTTTGTATTTTTGCGGCTTTCATGATTTATAACAGATAATCACTCAATACACATAAAGAGAATTCCTTTATTAATATTCCTCATAACTTTCACTTGTTATTTTTACCATTTATATTTCTATACAAATCTTTTTTTTGGTTCAGCTTAACTTCAAGCATTTTTAATGATATTTCAGCAGATATAATCTTGGTTTGATTCTAATTGAAGACTTAATAGTTCATTAAAATCAGTATAACTTTATTGATATTATGAAAGCAACCTGGTAATCTAGGGTGTGCTAAAAATTATTGTGGTGCTCTGAAAAAGGCCCAAGAAGTCTAGAAATAAAAGCAGGGAATTTTGTATTTTAATTAATTTATTAGATTTAATCTATTAATTTAATGCTTTCATAATATCAATAAAGTTATACTGATTTTAATGAACTTTTAAGTCCTCAATTAGAATCAAACCAAGATTATATCTGCTGAAATACTCTCTAGCTTTTTTAAAAATAGAGATGAAACCCATTATCACAAATTTATAGCCTTATTCCAAAGGAAAAATTGTCCCATATAATAGAAAAAATATAGAAGGAGGGCCTGAAATAAAATGAGTCAGTCCCTATGCCCTCCAGCAGCAGTATTATTATACTAAGGGGTTTTGATGTATTTGACTTTTAAAACTTGAAGACAGATGGATGGATTGCATATTTTTAGTATAATTCCAGAAATTACCCTACATACTTTCATAGAAGAGTGTTTATACCTAGTTTAGCACTCCCAAAGGAATCAAAAAGGATACCATTACATCTTCCATAGCAATTGTGTATCAGGACAAGCACATCCTAGCTCTCCAGACACTGTCACGGTGCTGGTCTAAATCGGGGCACTGCCTTTTCCGACAATAGCTTCTAACTCGGGTTTTGAAAAATCTCTATGACAAGCGATTGTAATTCTAACCTTGTTCCCGTGTTAATATCCTTAGCCTCCCTTACGGAATCCACGTTACAAAGCCAAGGAAATCAACAAAGGATACGATCATCCCTTTCATAAATATTTCAATGCATAAACACATATGTAATAAATATTTGAAGGAAGCGTTTGAAAATTTGAATCCCATTAGTATTTGAAAAGTTTTGGGAGACTTTAAAAACATGTACAGTTATAATCCTATTTCTTGTGACCGAGCGTATGCTAGCAATCATGTCCACAGGGCCCTCTATTAAGATTTTTAAACTTATACTGCTCTATGCCTTTGTTAAGGAAACAGCAATATTTGTATTGACAAGCCCTATTTCTTCTATAAGCAAATACCTTAAATCAGAGTGATGTGCAGTACCAATTTAATATTAATCTAAATAATCTATCTTTAAGCTCATAAATATTTTCATTATCTTGAACTTGATTCAACCTGACGGTTCTACGTTAGCCTGGCTCAGTCAGGGTCTGCCCTGTCTAATCAAATTCTCACTCATATCTAGTCTTCATAGGGCATTTCCATATAATGCAACGGCAGGAGGTGTGTGTGGTTTGACATGTCAACTCCCAAGTTCAAGTATATTCAGCTACTGTCTGGGTTTTCCTGGGCTGCCATTATACATCTCCTATGCTTAGCCTTCGTCTCAGAGGAGAAAAAGCTTTGCATCCCCCACAACCAACCCTGGTCCCAAAGACAGTAAAAGGAGAGATGGTAAGGACTCCCCTAACCTTGGCCTGTCCCAGATCTATAAGGCAAGCCCTCTAAGAACACAGTAAGGCCAAGCAAAGGGGAGCCAGGATGTGGAGCTTTTGCTAGAGGGGGCTGGCAGAGACCAGAGCTGAGAGAGAAATGGGAGACGCCAAGTGAGGGAAACTATAGGCCAAGACAAGTCGAGAGAAAGAGTGAGGCTACCCACTACAGAGAAAGAAAAACAGGCGAAATGAGGTAGATAAAGAAGTGGATTCAGAGTTGGTTCTCAGTACCGCCCAGCCTGACTGCGTCTCCCTAAAGCACCTCCCAGGGTGTTTGGGAACAGTAACTCTGGGGAAGACGGCTTCTGAGGGCTCCAAAACCACTCCAAGTTATAAACTTCTGCCTCCTTGTGAGTATCAGGAAACAAACTTCCGGGCTAGTAGATGAGCTAAACGTTCGACTGGAAGATCAGAGGCCAAAGGTCTCCTAACAGTAAGAGAGTACATCCCTTTTACCATACACACTACTATGCCCAAGTCCTTTCACAGAGAAGAAGCTGATCCACACCGATTTTCTCTTCATCAAACCCCGGGGACCACGCTCTGTGCTCTAGGTGTTTGCAAAATCCCCCTGGATCACTTCAGCATCGCTTCAGAAATCAAACTCCCTGGCTTCAACTCTAATTTACAAGACAGCAAGTTTCTGCGTGGTACAAATGGTTAAAGTGCTAGGCTGCTGACTCAAAGGTTAGAAGTTTGAGTTCATTCAGAGGCACCTCAGAAGAAAGGTTTGGCAATCTACTTCCAAAAAATCAGCCACTGAAAACTCTATGGAGCACAGTTCTACTGGGACACACACGGGGTCACCATGAGTCAGAGTCAACTGGACGGCAACTGTGTTTTTTTTTTTTAAAGATGAGCATCACATGTTCACCCTCTGACAGACGCAAATCTCTGCACCTGGGCTCTGAAACTCATCAAGTAATTGGTGAAAAGATTTTATTATCATGGCAACCAATTCCTGAAATATCTCGGAATGAAATCATATCTTCAGCAGAATATGTGCTGCCTTCAAAAATATCAATCCTTAACCACACTGTACTAACTTTAAGGTTTACTTTCTTCTGACCAAGGTATTAAAAAAAAAACAAAAACCCGTTGCCGTGGACTTGATTCCATCTCACAGCAACCTTATAGGACAGAGTAGAACTGTCCCATAGGGTCCCCTAGGTTGTCATCTTTACGGAAGTAGACTGCCACATCTTTCTCCCATGGAGTGGCTAGTGGGTTAGAACTGCCGAACGTCCAGTTAGCAGCTGAGTGCTTAACCACTGTGCCAACAGGGGATATGTCTGAATTTTGCTTCTTTTTTTTTTTGAAGTACTTAAATTAAAATAAATATGCCTTCTTATTGCCAACTGTCATGGGAAAATCCATCCTGCATTATGGTATAAGTAGCTCCTTTTTATTTTTCTTGATTTCAAATTATTTTTCTAAGCCCTTTCTTCAAGGAGTGCTTTCTTCCCTTCCTTCATTTTTCACATTCCCATTTCCATATTAATACTGACCAACAGATCTTGATACTTTCATGTTACAGATCCAGTAATCACTCCCTGTGTCCAGTTGTTTTGGGCTAGTCCACAGCACGTGGATAAATCTGTCTACATTTATAAACGACATTTGACTCTCTTCACCATATCTCGTTCTATTTTTCTGGCTTCCTTCATCTTTTCCACGAGAAACCTATGTCCTGTCACCCTCTGATCACTTTCCTAAATTGTTATAGCAGTTCAGAGTGGTGAACTGGTGGAATGGACTCCAGAGCAGATGGCAAATTACTAACCATGCATTTGATGCAGGGTGAAGCAGACCATCACTCACGGAGCTATTTTTTTCTCCACATTTGGTATGGGGTATTTTTGGTACACAGAAAGTCTCTGTTCTTGGAACCGACAATTTTCAAATATTTACCGTTTTGGGTTTACTTTTTCCAGAAAGACACAGATGACACCACTCAAATTTTAAACTATATGACTCACTTTCTAACAATAAGTATTTAAAAACATTTATTTTATAAATTACTTTCAGATTAAATGCCTGATTTTCTTATTCTACAGATCTGTGGCATAGAACTTTTATCATACTATCGCCATAAACCACATCTTCCTCTTAAGAAATGCTCATTGTCTTTCAGAAGATATATTTTATTTATAACGTGTATGGCAAGAATAAAAAAAATTAAACATTTTCTGATAAGTATCAATTTCCTTCCAAGGGCAAAATCTGGTTAGGATAAAGTCAATGTTCAGGAATTAATTCTCTAAAGAATCTACAGTTACTGACATCAGTGTACCAACCTCATTTTTATTAGATATGGATTATAAAATGAGTGATGATATTTTTGTGCCACATAATTCTTTGTTGTAGGGGATTGTCCTGGGCAATGCAGGTGGTTTAGATGCATCCCTGGCCTCTACCCACTAGATACCAGTAGATTGTCAAATGTTCCCTGGGGGCCAGAAGTCTCCCCACCCCCCACCCCCCGTCGAGAACCACTGGTGTAAAGGAACCAAAGATTTGAACTTAACCAACTGAATGAACCAACAAAAAGAAAAGAGATAGTTCAATGTAAATATAACCTATCAAAAATATAGAGATTTAATTCTTTCTTCAACCAAATCCAAAAGTTAGGGGCAAATCGATTAGGCACAAACCCTAAGACTCTCCCTTCAAATTAAAAACAAACAAACAACAAAAACTTTGATACACTCACTTATTCTGAAACAAACACAGTATTATTTCCACGATGTCATTATGTGGCTTTCATGATGTCACCATATTATACAGTTAAATTTCAGTGACTGTTGGAAAAAAGTCATTAACGATATCCAGAGAGCACATCAGGAGTCTTTACTACCTGCATGAGTTTTAAAGACTAGGACACCAAAACCAAAATCAATTGGGGAAAATTGAAGATTTTTTGAGACTTTGCTACCTGTAGGAAGACAGGGTCACAGATATAGAGGATTAAGTAAGAAGGTGAGGTGTGGTTTAGTAACAATGGCTCACATTTGTTGGATGGGTATGTTCAGTTAGGGACAGATAAGGCTGCCTCTAAATTAACATTATTCTATTACATGAACACCAATGAGAGAGAGAGAGAGAGAGATAATAGGTATACTTTACCATCCCCAGGAATGATGCGGAGGGTAACTGTGTTTCCTGCTTCCTTGATTAAGTTGACAATGTCTGAATGGGATTTGTTGGTGATGGAACATCCATTCACTGCCAAGATCCGGTCTCCTACTTTCAGCTTGCCACAGCGGTCAGCAGGGCTCCCCTCAATAATCCGACCTATTTTGTGAGGCATAGCCACACATGCATTGCCTGCTTTGGTATTGAGTGTACATTTTTTTTTTAAGTTACGTGGGAATATAGTGAAGGGAGGAGAAAAAAGGTTGAAAAGGGAAAGAGAAGGTTAAGTGTTAATTAATTAAAGCATTAAGCAAATGTTATTAAAGGAGAGTTCTGCGCCGAGGTCAACATTGGCAATATCGGGGCATCAGGGCATCTGTGAGAAGCTACTGCCCCGAAATTAGAGTTCATTGCTGCAATCCTTCCCTCATTTACAACGAGGGGAAACCCCAGCTTCCCTCCTGAAATCAATTACAAAATTTGGGATATTTAGCAACTTCCAAGACTCTCAAGAGTCCAAAAATAACTCGCCGTTGGCTTATTTTGGGACTGCAAATATGAAACCAAGAGCTGAGACGGACATTTTTACGCATCTCTGTTCGTGTCACTTCATTTTTGCCAGCTGTTGTTTAAGCTTCTGCCAATGTTTTGCTCTTTTTCCATTTAGAAATATAATCACTGGCCGTCTGGTGAGGCAAAGAGTCTGCTAGCACCAAAAATTCAATCTGAAAACATATAATGGACAACGCTTAGACTTTCCGCCTTTCACGCAGAATGATGAAAGCTTTAGGGGAAAAAAAAAAAAAAAGGCATAATTATAAGAGATGAGCCAAGAAAGCGGCCAACTTTGACACCTAGTTTTCCGTTTATGACCTTTGTTCAATCAGCCTATCCTATGTGCTTTCAGTGTAGGGCCTGGACTGGGTCATTAGCTCTGAAATCATCCTCCTTCCTCACAAAACCCCCCTCAGAGGAGTATGAAAATCTAGTGCCTATTCAAGCTGAGGACACTGATCCAAAGCCAGGTTTAAATCACTCCTCAACCCTTTTCCTTTACCCACTTCCTTTCTCGTTTTAAATGCTGCGCATCTACAGTACTGAAAACTGGGAAGAGAGCATCTCAAGAGGAAGGTTTATTGTGCACTTTGAGGTGGTCCATGTCGCAACCAAGAGCATGCTGTTTTTAGAGAGGCGGGAAACAGGCTTTGAGGTCTGACGTGGCGTTTCTAGCTAACTGTATACTGAGTTTCAAAACCTCTTATGCGTATTTTCCTGTTTTGAGAATGTGTCTTTCTGGGGACTGTGAAAGTAGTTAAGCAGCTGAGCCTCCTTTTGGAAAAGGTGACAAAAGTAACATAGCGGAATGGCGGACACTGAAGCTAAGTGAGGAGGCTAGTCCATCGTGATCTGGAGCCTGAAGATAAAACGCACAGGACAACACACTATAACTCCTTTACACTTCAGCAGGTTTGCCTGAGTTTACGTCACTGGATGTAATGCCAAGGTCAAAGAAGAGGAGAAAAAAGGGGAGTAGGCAGTCTACTGGAATCCAATAGACAGGTGGGGTGGAAAGCGTCCATACTCATATTCAGGTTCTTGATGAAGTTTATCCTATCTCCAAGGACAACAGGCATGAGACATGCAGAAAGCAGCAGGTGTGAGGCAAGCTCTGCATAGCTCGGAACAGAAGTCTCATGCAAAGTATTAGAGAAAGTTTAATGTGTTCAGTGTAAGAGCCAAAGGAAAACAATAAGACCAAATTGTGAGTGAAGACATTCCATATTCATCACATAACACAAGCCTGCCACCTGACACAACTGTTATTTTTCTCTACAAAGTGAAACTGCAGATTCTGAAATCCTGAGAGCATCACAGGGGACGTGGGGACAGCCAAATCGTAGATTTAAAGGAAGTCATTTGGGATTTCTTTTCTCCTTCTTTCTCTTTGCTTTTAAATTAAGCAGAAAAGTCTCAGAAATTAATTTTTTAAAAAATCTTGGCTCGAAGACAGGTCATTCACCCATGACATGCTGCAGTAACTTAATTCATTAATGCAGCTCACAAAAGCACTGTTAGTAACGGGTGTTTGTCACTGCAGCCGCACATGCACAGACCTGGCTGACTCTTCTCAGGAACAGAACTTAGGGGGAAACGGCTTTGGCAGGAGGCAATGTAGCAAGACTAAATGGAGGCACAGGAGTTCTGCTGGATCAGAACGCTAAAGCCTTCCGACCTGGACCACTGGTCACTGAACTCCATGTGAGTAAGTCATTTTGGGGTAGAGCTGAGGTTAATTTCAAAGCCTGCACAGCCCTTCCCCTCTCCCATCATATTCCTTACTAATGTACATGCTTGGGAGATAACAAATGACTTTTTATCTAATCAGGAAGGCAGCTCATTTTTAGAGTACCCATCTACAGTCTATTCTAACGGGAAACAGATTCATAGACCACTGCTTCCTGGAATCATCTGGGTTCCTGTTTGTCTTTGCTGGTACACCAGCAGAGAGTTAGCTAACCTTCTGAGAAGGTGACCCTTGTCTTTCCCCATACTCTGCGGAACCCCCACCGTCTGGGTGAGACAGGGAAATCCTCCCTGCTAGAATTTAAGGGCAGCAAAGACAAAAGGCTCTTAACTCAGATTTCAACCAGGCAATGGTAAAAGCGCTATTTAAAATTGAAAAAAAAAAATCAGATGGGAATAGGCCAGAGAAAGGACACAGACGAGGTGGAAAGAGTATTTTGTGTAATATTTTTACTCCGTACACCTCCATTTTTCACAGGCATTTTTACAACCATATGCTCCTTCTAAAAACTCTTAGACCATCTGAGGCCACTGCTATGAATGATATCCTTACTCTCCGAAAAGTCTTCTGGCAAAAATTTCTGACACTCTTCACTGTCTAGGGCTCACTATTCAAATTCCAAACGCCCATGTATGCGTGAAGTGGTGTGTTTAAACACACATTCAGAATGGAGGTCGAAGGCTTACACACACACACACACACACACACACACACTCCAAAAAATCCAAGCTTCAAGAAGGAAAAAACTACCAAATAAACTCCATCCCCAATTAAGACTTCAATAACCTGAAGCAAAAAGCATCAAAGCATTTCTGCTAACGAGACTTTGGCCTTCTTTCTCTTGCATCATACGGAACCCGGGGGAAACTGTCTTCAACACTCACCGAAAGTGGTGCCCGCTTCAGGCCTGCTCACGGAAGACACGATGACGAAGCCGAAGCCCTCGTTCTCCCCGCGGCGAATGTCCACGTCGTAGGGCTGCACCACCGTGCTCACCAGGCCGCTGCCGCCGCCCCCTCCGCTGCCGATGCCGCTGGTGCTGCCGCTGCCGGAGCTCACGGTGTTGAGGGAATTCTGACTTCCCTGTGGGGTGTGCTTCTCCTCAGTCAGGGAGGCCGGCTGGTTGCTGCTGTGATGAGATGAGGCTGGAGAGGGCACCTCGTTCTCTGCTTTGGGGACTGTAACAGAGTGATTCACACCTACGTTACTCAGCTTCACACGAAGGTGCCCCTCCACCCCTTCTTTCTTCCCCAACTTCACAATGTGCAAGAAATGAAAGATTAACTGGGGTAACATGGCATCTGGCCTTCTAGAACTAGGGTAGAGAAATGTAAAACAGCTTCTCTTGATAAGTATTTACTACTCAATATCCGCTAACACTGACCCCTCATAAACATAAAAAGGATTCTCAAATCCTGTACAATTTATAGCACGCTGTGTATCAGCATTCACACTCAGACTGAAGTCTGCAGCAAGATCAGCTCACACTGAAATATCTCCCATTGCACAAATCAAAGGAATCCTTCTACTAAATGTAAGAGTAGACCACACCAATGACAACCACCCCCTTTGCTTCGTAGGTATGAATTTAACTGCACATTCATATTGTTATTACCCTCAAGCCATATTTTTGCTCGGCTTCCCAACAGCTTTGCTTTTGCTTTTCCATCAGGCAAGACTCTCAGCTGAGTGTTCCATTAAGGCCGCCATATTGCAGAACTTGTGCCAACAGCACCTGTCAGCGGTATACTAAGCTTCCCTTCCTAGCTTCCAGATGTCAGTTATCTGCTCTCATCACACACTTCAATACATCAGCCTACTTCAGAATTTAGTCACCGTATCAGTCTTACAACTTGGTTTGGTGACAGGTAAAAGCACTCCTAAATGACAGTATTAGGTGAGACCAACTTATGGTTTCATGCCAAAAGCAAAATGTGTCTCCAGGTTGGTTCTGGATAAGATTATATTTATTCATGAAAGCTTTTCTCTTCACAGAGTTAACATACCTTGGAAACACTACTAAAAACAAAAAAATTATTTAAGATTTTAAAAATAAATCTGAAACAAAATCACACTGCCCTATTCTTACTTGGGCCAGGGAAGTGACATAGTTCTCATCTCATGGCCAATTCTAACTGATTGCTATTGGCCGCATGGAATACTACGTTAAGAAGGATTCCAAGGTCATAAACGAGCTCTATGACTGATGAACACTGTTCTTCTATGAGTGCAGAAGGTGGGACTCTCATACTAGAGTCTGATATCTTAACTCTGCAATTAATCATTTAACATTTAAATTTGAGTTATATTAGTCTTTTTTTTTTTTAAACAAGGGCACCAATTAGTTTTATCTGATACGCATTTGTCTCACTAATATGAATGCTGTGGAGAATTCATAACATTCCATGTCATACTTCTTCCGTAATTCAATTGATACAACATTTTTTATGCCTGTTCTGCACTCTGGGTTCTGTCTTGAATGCTTCGAGGTGGGGGCAGCATACCAAGATGAAACATCAAGGCGTGTGCTTTCAAGACACTGGCAAGTCGAGGGAAAGGACAGATGTTCACACCACTAGACGTCTCAAAATGGCAGATTCAGACACGCAAGTAAAGCGTCAGCCACAAGAATGGCAAAAAAGTGGTTGGAGGAAGGAGGGATTCCCGAAGTTTCACAGAGAAGGTTATATTTGAGCTGGGCCTCCAAGGATACATAGTATTTTGAGAGCTACAGAACTTTGAAGATTGTGGTCAGGAGGAAGGAATCAAAAATGACCTAGAAGTGGTCAGTTCTACAACTTATTTGTAGAGAAGAGAAAATTATCGCTTTAACAAAATGACAATAACAGAGTAAGAAATCACTAACTTTCTAATTTCAAGCTACAACTCTACTGACCTCTTTTGTGGAGAATTATCATCAAATGAAAAGGATGACTAAGTCCCAGTTGGCACGGGGTGAGGGGAAGCAATGTATCTTCAACTAGCCTTCTTCTAGAAGCCTTTGCTGAACATGCGTGAATGAAACACTAAAGTACTTTTGAATGACAGTAGTTTTGCATGGTTTGAGAGGAGCAAACCATCTAGAAATTCTGAACTTGATCACATTTGCAAACACTTGCTAAAAGAGGTGCTTGAGAAGGCAGACACGGGAAGGGGGGCCTTTTCTGTGCATAAACTGACAATGCCCTGTCTGAAGGAATGAATGAAAAACATACCCGCAAACACCACTTTACGCCGCACTGTGAGATTGACGTGGCCTTGCTTGGCAGCTTGTTGCATAAGCTGGACCACAAGCTGGTGTGATTTTCCAATTACTGGTGTTCCATCGACACAGATTAATTCATCTCCAGACCTCAGGCGGCCGTCTGTGTCAGCAGCACCCAGTGGTACAATGTGACCAATATAAATCTGTTGAGTAATTGGATAATGGATGAAACATCGCCCTCTTGGTTTACTACTACAGTCGTGAACCTCCCATCTCCAAGAACAATTCCATTCATTCATTTATGCCTGTATGCATGCCTCGAACATTTATTGAGCGCCCACTGAGTACCAGGCATTGTGCTAGGTGCCACAACATTTACCTGTGTTCTGGTGATGACCCATTTTTTCTCTTACTCCTTTGAGATATGAGTCAATTTACCAGTTGTCATTGACTCATGGTGACCCCTTGTGTGTCAGAAAAGAACTGTGCTTCACAGGGTTTACAATGGCTGATTTTTTGGAAGTAGATGGCCAGATCTTCTGAGGCATTTCTGGGTGGACTCAAACCTCCAACCTTTTGGTTAACAGCCAAGTGTGTTAGCAGTTTGCACCACCCAGGAGCTCCATAAATCACTTTACCAAAAAAACCAAACCCGCTGCTGTTGAGTCAACTCCGACTCATAGCAATCCTACAGGACTGAGTAGAGCTGCCCCATAGGGTTTCCAAGGCTGTAATCTTTACAGGAGCAGACTGCCACATCTTTCTCCCACAGAGATGGCTGGTGGGCTTAACTGCCAACCTTTCTGTTAGCAGCTGAGTGCTTAACCACTGTACCACCAGGGCTCCTTGGGTTGTACCCAGCAAGGGTCAAATCTTGGTGATTTGTCACTACCACCGATTTCCTCTGAAATCTCAGAAAACAGCACCGAGGAGAAAGGCAGACAAAGGACTCACAGGTTCCCCTGGTTCATTTCCACCCAGAATCCTAAATCCAAATCCAGTCTCTTTTCTCCATAGGAAGATGTCCTGTTCTTGGTAATCTGGAACTGCAGAGAGAGGGAAAGGAAGAGAGAAGTTATGTCTCTGACAAAAGGAATCGTGCCCCTAAGGTAAACAAGATTACAGGACCACTGCTGATGGTGGTTGAGCAAATAAAAGCTTTCTAACACAGGCAAGGAAACAAAATCTGGTAGATGGGTGAAGTAATGGATGACACCAGGTAAAAGCAAACAGTGGCAACAGCCACTGAGCCCTTTCTTTTCTCCAAAGGACTAATCACTGTTTGATAATTCCTAATCAAGCCAGAGCTAGTATCTCCAACCAAGCTGGCAGTCAGCTTTGACTGTTCCCTTCAGTATTGTCCCAAGGGGCATTAAGTAAATTAAAACCATTATGTGCTGTATCACCAAGGTGTGACCATGTCCAAGAAGATAGCTCACGCTAAGTCAGAGTAACCTCTGAAGCAGAAGTGGTTCTAGGGATTTAGACGTCCTGTTAAATCACTTTTTCTCCCTTAAGTAATCATGACCAGTAGTACTAGCATTTGAACAGTTAGATAATTTTTGCCCAATAAAGTTACTTTATAACATCCTAATATTTCCAAATAGACGAAGTTTACCATGATTTTAGTACTATTATCAAAAAATAGCCTTCCTTATCCTCAAGATCAATGGTGACAGCAAATGAGCTCTGTATTAATGAATGGTGTCTCATTGTTAGGGACTGCTTTACTCCAGAATTTACCTCTAATCTTTCAACCCTGCAAGTATTAATTCATTATCCAACAACTTGATATTTACTTCCAAAACTCAGTAATGCTCCAGGACTTTAAACTAAAAATCTCATTTTGTTAAAGAAAAGTAATTTCCATAAGAAAAGGTTTAATGTATATGAAATTGTTCTATATACTACTTTAGGACTTAGAGTAATAAAAAAGGGTTATTTCTATTTCATTCTTATTTAATCTTATAATGTACACATAGTGTTTTATGGCCTGTAAAATGACATAGCTTTTATTTAAAGACAAAAAATAAAATTTAGTTGCAGAGAGTCCCAAAGGAGATTTTCAAATTCTTTTCTGCACACTTTCTGGTTTATTTAATTAATTGGACTCAAGGTTAAGGAGTGTGTACGTCTAAAAATTACATTCTTCTCCAATTTTGTACAGTGGGACAGGGAAGAAGAAGGTGGCTGTTTAGACCTTAGGTTAGTGAGTGATGTCCTTTTTAGTGACTCACGAGTTTAAAAGGCACAGTGAATGAATAAGAGGAGAGAGAAGAAAGGACAGAACAGGTGAGTACTAGTCAGAGATGTCTGAATCTGTTATTTTTCTTGAGCGATTTTAACACCAGCTTGAAATCGGTTCTTTTTATCCAACACGCTCTTATTATAATTGCTGAGGCTAAGCTGCGAAGCTTCACGGAACATGGAGCTAAGCTACATCATAGAATGCCCATAAACCCAATTTGAGAATAATATTTTCTTGTGCACGCTAAGGTAACAATATTTTCTTTCCGTTCAAGTAGCTAGTTAAAGGGTATTTGCTGTAACAGCCTCATGGCAACAACAGACTAAATCAGGCTATGTCTCCATCTCTGGTTTACTTGAACAGGACGATCACTATGAAGATAGTCCACGAGCGCTTTCCGGCCACCGCTAGGTTCTGGCAGAGTCTCCCTAAGTCTTCCTAATGTGTGGCATTTCCGTCAACAGCGAAACAGCCTCTGCAGAGACCTCCAGCCCAGACTCATGTTTCTCAGCATCATTTAACCCAGGAACATTTGCCCACAGATCCTACAGGGACACCAAATGTAATAAGTTCCTGCCTATATCGCTCTTTTAGGTATAAGCGCTCATGGTACGGGAGGCTGTGGCTGAGAAACTTAGGCTTATCACACAGTTTAGTCCATAAGAAAAAACATTTGTTTCTGCCCGAAATTCAATGGAAGAATGGCAAACTTAGTGAAAGAGCTTGTCTGTTGAAAAGGAAGATGCCCAACGACACCAGAGATGTGAAAGACACCGATGACTAATCATGAGCACAGGCACGAACACGATACACCACCACGCAGGCACATCACGGACGAAGGCCTTCTGGCTTTAACTGCAGAGTTTTAACACTCATCCTCTTCCACCAGCTAAGTGCCATTTACCCAAATAAATAAACCTGGGCCTATTTCAGTACTGAGACATATTATGGGATTAGAGAATTTCTCTCTTCTGTTGCCTCTGACACCTCTTCTTCACAGAGGCACCGAGGTTTCTCAACTGCATGCCCCAAAAATGTTTGTCCTCTTAATTTCAGGCAAATTTTATTAGAATTCAGTTTTTAGGAGGCAGCAGGGTAGAGCCATCTTTCTGATATTAATATCTTTTTTTTTTTTTTTTGAGGCTATATCAAACAGAGCTAAGAAAATCTTGTTCAGTTTTCTTCATTTTTAAGCCCTTGTGTAGGGAACAATCTCAGCAGTTAATCTCCTTTAGGTAACGCCAGCGTCAACCGGATAAAGCAGTCGAAAGACATCCTTTGATAATTAGAGGGAACGCAAACACCACTGTTTGATGAGAAACCTCCCGGTGACTCCATTCCTACAGATGCACCATCCATTTTTCCATGCTCGGCAAAGACGTGCACGTTACTTTTTATTTCATCTTATCTTTGGTCTACTCTTGGTCAACAAGAGTGCCAAAGCATTTTTCCTCATGGCATTTGACTTTCTTTCCTCCCTTTTCTGGGCATCTCCCCAGCCCCCCAGACCAGTGGGCACATTGAACAGGATGAATAAGAATGGATAAAGAAAACTTTTCCATGCATTCTTACTCTGACATTCTCCAAAGTTCGTGGAATTGATTTCTCTGTCTCTTTCACCCTTGCTCAATCCCGGTGCAGGCGAAGGTGACATAGCTGGAATATTAATTTCACAGTTTTGCAAAGCGTAATGTATGTGCTTCCTCTTAGTTCACTTTAATTTAGTGTTGATTGATAAGGAACGTGCAGTTCAGCTTTCACAGTAAAGGTCATGGCTGCTGTGGATTCTAAAAGACTATCGTTTGACTTTTTGAAACTTTCTTTTATTCATGGTATTTTTTTGTGGGGGGAGGTCAAAAAGCTAGTATTTACAATTGTAGCATGAGAACTTCATAAAACCACAACGACCATCTTAGGCTCTGAATTTTACACTAAGTACGCATTCTCGTATGACCTTGTTTTAGTCATGTCATGAACTTTACAAGGTTTCTCTAAACCCTCATATCCTTTTAAAAAATTTAAAATACTTTGACACCGCTACACGACTGCATTTATTGAAGAGAGTATCAAGTTCCAGATGAAATTCACACTCGTACTAAGACCTGTTTGGGTGAATTTTAGGCAGTTCAAACCAGAACAGTCTTATATTTATAGAGGTACAAATCATCAGATCTGACCAAAATCTGAACAAACACACAAATAGGAACTGCCATCACAGCTCTTTAAATCTAGATGCACGCCCAGGCTCCTTAAACTCACTAGGACAAAGGAGCATATACACCAATTCCAAATTTGTAAGCACCTCTCCAGAGGATGACAGGTTTACAATACAGGTTAATAAGACATGTCTGAGTTTTTTTCTCTCCAAAGTATTGTGTGAGCAGGCAAAATCTGAACTACAAGCGTTATAATTTCTTTTGTAGCAATCACTCGTGGAGACTAGCTGGCTTTCCTGGACGTTTGCTTGCTAATACAACGGCACCAACATCCTTTTTAAAGACATGCACAATTAGTATGTTATCTAGAGAAACGACAGAATGGGCAACATGGATTTTAGAGGACTTCAGTGCTTGCCTTTGTTTTTAATTAAACATTTAAGCCCTTCAAAGGCATTCATTAACACATCTGCAATTCAGATTGATTCATTTTGTCGCTGCTGTTTTGACAGATGGCCTTATCAAGAATACAGTATTTTGCAGAGCATGTGGACCACGTGAAGGAATTTGATCAGAGATTGTGTTCATCGCTGCATTGCCTTTAACAATAAAATAAAATATAAAAAAAATATGTTCAACAGAGAGGGGACAATAAGGCATAGTCAAGGTGTTGTTGCTGGTTTCAATTTTCCTTGTTTACCTGCACCACTTGGCCCTCTTAATATCTCCGGGGGTGGGGGTTGGGGAGTCAAGCCTGACAGGAGCACACACTGTGTTTTTTTCCAAACACATGCTACGAAGCAATCTAAGGGAATGGCAGAAACCGATCTGCAGATAAAGCAAACTGCTGATTAAAAAACAAGATCGATGCGTAGCTACTATGAAAAGCAGAAAATGTGTGACAGATACTGAATAGTGAGCGCTGGGGGAAGGTCTCATCATCGACCTCATTTAGCAGTGAGGAAGAAATCCACGTGAATCTTAACATCCATTAGGCTGCTACCATCACTCGGTTATGGCGCCCCCAGTCATTGAAAAGAAACTGATCCTCATTCACACTGCTCTGTCCTACCCCTGAGACATCAGAGAGAGTGAAGAACAAACCCGGTGCCCTTTCGAGTATCTGGGTCTGGCTGCCACCTGAGCAATTTCAATGCTTAAAGCAGTTGGCTATGGCAAGTTCACCTATTTTTCTTTTTCTCCGGTGAAAATCTTTTTTTTAAAAAAATTAAACACCAAATTCTTAAGAAATGTTGTTTAAATCAGAGCGAATACGGTATTTGAGCTGGAGCCTCCTATTGAAGAGATGCGTTAAAATTTTCTGTCAATCCATGGCGCCCCTGCCAGCAGCTCAGAACACCCTTTATTTTATCACAAAAAGGTTCATATATAGACAGCTCCATCATAATGTGTACTGTACTGGGGAAAGCAGGGGTGTGGTCAATCAAACAATATCTCAACATCAACTGAAGTTGGGCCATTGACTGGAGGAGTCACATGGTTGTAGAGAAGTGAGAAGTGAATGTGAAAATATTCCTCTTGGAAACCATTTCTTCACTGAAATCTCAACAACTAGTGAGAAGACCCAGTGAGGGCAGACCCCCAGGTTCATACTCAGCATCTACTCCTTAAGTTCCAAATGGACCTTCCTTTCCTTTGGTCTGGCCTCAGGAGACTCTAGGGGTGTTCTTCTACCCAAGGAACTAAATGCATCTGTTCACAGTATCTGGCTTTTGTCCACACAGTGAACCCTCAGCCACAACAGCCTATTTAATTCCACATGCTGTTGGAGTAAGAGGGTGATGGTATTTCTCCCTTGAGGAAGAGACGGAGGGAGGGACCTCTGAGTGACTCGTAGTATTTGGTAATCAGCAAGCCCTCAGGTTTGCCTTGTGGTCCCTAACTTGCACTTCCCAGTAGCATGGCTGACTTCCTTCTCAGACAGGATAACGGCCTCACTCGCCTCTTCTGTTCGGGTCACAGAGAAGTTGAAGTCTTTCAACACATGCTTCAGCCAGCAAAGAAAATGTATCATAGCCAAGTCCAAGTGGGTGGGCAAAGGGCTGAAGGACCTCACACAACCTCTTACCACGAGGTCAAAGGGCTCTGCCTGAGAGGTAACAACAGCTGTGACTAAGAAGGAAATCTGTGGTGGGGGGCAGAGGCAAGAGGCAAAAAGATTCTTTTCTCTCTTCTAGTTTCTCTCAGATCTTTCACCAGATGCAGCCCCCTCCCTCATTACACATTCTCTCCTACCCTACGCCAAAAAGAGAAAATGAGAAACGAGGTGAATGTACTTCATAGTCACCTCATCCTCACAAAACGTACTCATGGGAAAATGTCAGCAATATCAACAGCAATAAAAGGCCAGTTTGTATCATCTAAAATTAAAGCATCTGAGCAACTTTCATTGGTAAGATAAATGAACGTTATTTACAGTGAATATTCTTTGGAAGCCATTTCATAATAAAAAGTCAGACATGAAACACGGGGGGAATATTACGTTATACAAGCCAAGAAGTTACCGACTACAGAGAACACCTCCACCAGGTCCTATTCACACAAAACCGAAGAACACACTTAACAACTGTATAAATAATTAAACTACAAACCACTTAATGTTTGTTTTTTTCTTTTTCAGGGGGCTGTTTAGAAAGGCTGATAATGGTAAAAAAAATTACCAGTATTGGTAAAAATCAAGAGACCACTAAGAAAGCATGTAATTTACTCTCATTGCCTCTGCAATCCAAACCAATCATATTTATGTTCTATTGTGTATTAGAGCTGCTTCACAATACATGAACTCAGAGCATGTCACAGTCTCCACTCGGAAGAATTAATGACACAGTAGCTCTTCTTCACTTCTTCTAATTGAAGGGGAAAATAAATCCATTTGTATCCAGGCCATTTATTTGATGACCATCCATTTCTACCCCCACCGCACAATGAAGACATAATGGACCCTCCATGGATATCCATGAGACTAATGGGGACTCTGGGAAGCTTTCACCACTCACCGTAATTTACCTGTATCTAGTTTACAGGCTGAAAATCTCCATCTTTAATAAGCCTCAAAAGAAAGTTCAAAGCCTGGGGAGGGACCTGGGGAAGACAGGCGCCAGGGCAATACTCACGTCGGTTTTCATACATGCTCCTGGACTGGGCCCAGATTTTAAATGGATCTGGTTTTTTCTGCCCAGAGCTGTCAGTCTGATCTGGAGCTGGGGCCTCTGCAGGTGGGTACTCGGGAAGCCCCTGTTGGCCGTGGCTTGGGGATGCCGTGTGCAGGCTTCGGTGGCTGCAAACACTGTGCTGAGAACTATTCTGGCTGTCTTTTCTTTCCAGTGGTTGCTGCAAGTTGGTGAGCAAAAAGGGCAAAAGAGAAGGTTATTACTGATTCTCTGGGTGAGTGTTTTCCATCAGCTTGTCTTTGTTCAGCATGTCTGCGGACACAGACATAAATATATCAACAACATTTTGATTTCCACCTTTCTCCAGCTAGTGATGAATGCAGATAAATCCCCAGGTGATTGGCAGCAGAGCGATGGGAGGGCCAGATGGGAGGCAGAATCACAAACCACACCGCTCTCCAGGCTGTGGCAGGAGACACATCCAATATCATCACAGGTTCTCTCTGGCTAAGACATTAGACTCGTTTATTACAAGATGGATCAGCTTTAACATCTTTTTTTTTTTTTGACAAAAATATGTGACACAAAATACTATGAGTGGTTTAAATGTAAATCTATAATATCCGGAAGAAATACAATCAGAGCTGAAAACACTCCTTCCTTCTCCATGCCTCGCACCTTTTAATAACACAGCAGCCAACACCTCCTTATGGATTTTCCATCAGTTCTTCCGGACGATAAGAAACTCAAGGACAAGGATCAGACTGCTTAAAAATCATGCCTAGAACTATATGTTCATCAGCACTTGTAACTATATAAATATTTTATGAATAGTATGTATAATTCTTAGCTAATCAATTTTGGAGGCATGAAGTTTCATTCTTGAACTTCTGACGCTACTCTTGGCAGAAAACTAATGTCAAACTTTATATATGGGTTGAACTCAGGGGGTCAGATGTCTTAGATTTTTAACTTGTCAAAAGTCCAAGTAGTGTTCAAAGAGAAAGAGTTTCGTTTAAATTTCATTAGTGAACAATTTCATGTTCATTAAAACCTGTTCAACAAAGACCCTTCCCATTTTATGAAATGTTCTTTGCTTGAATGGGGATTGAATGGAGGGCAAAACCTAGTGGGAGGTAAAAATACTGGGTGGGAAATAAGACACTTTTAGTTCTTATTTTCTCCAGTAATAGACGAATCCCAGGGGTTTACGTTCGCCCATTTCAAAAAAAAACAAAAGGCCCGCTATTCAATCCTGGGATCCTGCCTCCCACAAAACAGATACCATGTCATTCTACTTCTGTGCTTTAAGATCATTGTAAAGCGGTAGAGGACAGGAAGGGCATCTCACGCCCCTCTTACGGATCCTTATAGCTTATGTTTTCAAAGTAGTTTCTAAGATCTAGATCGTTCCATCTCCCCAAAGTTTTTACAGCACCAAAATCTTCCACCAGGCCCTACAATCAATCCTGTCAAGACAGCTCTTCCTCATTCTCTCCCCACGTATACCCCATCTTTCATCTTGCTGGGAACTTCAGAGGTCTCCTTCATTTAACTTCTCACTTTCTCTCCGCCCAGTCCTTGCTTTGGAACAAGTTCTAAAGAAAGCCCAGGACGGACAAAACTTCATTTGCCCTTGACTGTTACAGATTAAACATGAATACAGGTTTTGGCAAGGATTCCAAGTTGAGGAAAATGTGGCATGTGCTTAAAGGGGACAAGACAGATATTTTAAAATCATAATTGGTGTGCCTATGGGGAAAACTGGAAGATCACACTGTAAGTCAGCACAGAGGTCCTGGTAAAACTGCACGAAAGGCTTAATTCACTCCAGCTCAAGGGTCAGTATACCCTGGTGAAGATGCTGGGAAAACACACTGATAGCTTGCGGTGGGAGGGGGAGCTGGGGGATAAACACCATCCATAACCCCACATCATCAGAATTCTTAAAGAACTGTCTTTGGAAGATGTGCTCAGCCAGGATGGGTTAGCATTCCAAAGACATGGAACAGAATCGGCTCCGCCACCTTCCAGCAGTGTCCTCCCCACAAGACTAAATTCAGCTTTCAGGGCCAGGTTTCTGCCTCCAGAAGGGCAGCAGCTGCCCTTTTGCTTCCCCTGGAGATACGCTGAAGATTTTCAGAGCCAGGGGATGTTAACAGTAGACACAAACCACATTCTCTTTCCCATGTGAATGGGAATTTGTTTCTCTCTTCCATGTGGTCTTGGAAAGGGCCTCAGTTATGAAAGAGCAGGCACATTATCAGCCTATTTTTGGGGTGTACACACACTGGCATAAATGTTTTTATTAAGTGGGATTATAAATTTTTCTTACTCTTATCTTTATGCTCCTGATTGCCTACATTTTATTTTTATACTGCACATAGAATGCCATTTTCATTCTTAAATGAACCTTGGTAAATAGAATTAAGGAGACTGTCTATTTTTAGATTTTGTTAGTGTTTTACTTTTGTTCATCTTTCAAGGGGAGAAAAAAGATATTTTAAAAGTAAAGGCAAATAACCCAGTAAATAAAAAACCTCTGAGTTTACCCTGAGAGTTGCATGCCTGCCTTCAAATGCCCACCCTCTCTTGGTCCCTCAGATGAGTAGCAGATGCCAGGCTGAGAGTCAGCTGGTCAGTTAAAGCAAGTGTCCAGCTCACCAGTCCTTCACGTTGAGATGAGTGTCTGCAAAGCCTCACCCAGGAAAGGCAGTGAGCTGTACCGCAGGATTACCCGAAGGACATGTTCACGCTCTTCTTCCTTTTGTGGGGTTACACTGTGTTCCTGTCCCACTGTCCCCAAAGTAGGGAGGCCGTGTGTACATGCCTCTTCCTGGGCTGTTGCCCCTTGACACCAAACTTGAAACTTTTCCACTCAATCCCTTTTCCTGAACTGGAGAAAAATACTTTCCTGACAACCCTGCCCAACTGAGTCCAACGAAAGAATAGACCTTTCTCTCACAAAAAATGCACACGTGCTTTACGCTTCCCCGCCCCCACACACCATGCATACGCACATGCACACAGATTCTGCATGTCGTGAGCCGTCAGATGTCCGTCGCACAGAACCACCTCTGACATGGAGGATCTGGATTCCTTGCGTTTACTGAAGAGAAGTCTCCGCCACAGACAGAGTGTACAGATGAAGTCTGCTGCAAACGCCTGGGCCACTTCTCAAATTACAACACTCTTTCTCGCCTCCCCAATAAATGATTCATTTAGGTCCAATTTGACACAAAACGACAGATACAATCTGGAACGAGCCTGGCAAAACTGCCTCTCAGTCAAACTGCACCTCTGCTTCCCTTTTAAATGCTATCTAAATTTTGTCCCTAAATTGTGGAAAAGAAAACAGCATTCTGAGAATGTGTTCTAAAAACTGCACCACCACGAAACTAAGCGGCACATTCTAACCCATACCGGACTGAATACACAATAATCTGGAAGCTTCTTAGATTTCTCATCTAATAAGATTTAACATCACTTTATGTTCCTTCTCAAGTTAAATTATGAAAACTCCTTAATTTGAAGATGCACTCTGTATTTAATATCTTTTTGGCACTCCGGGTTTTTTGAAGCTGTGCTGTGTCTGGAAAGGTTCAAAATATGCCTTTTGTTTTCTATAAGCACGCTAATTAGCTATGATGTTGTCCTTTATCTGGTTAGAGCCCGCTGCTGTCCAGGAGAAAGGCAGTGTTTATACATCGTTCAAATTAAAGTCAACTTGTCTGTCTCTCCAGGAGTCTGGTTTACCTCCCAGAAGACTTGGGGCAAGAGAATGAATTCATTCTAAACTAGTTACAGCACAGGATCAGATTTGCATTTAACATGATTGCCTTTCACTTCATTTTTCTGGGTGAGAAACTCGCCCGAAGACAAGTATCCGTGTGAAAAGTCACCCTATGTAAACTGAGAACTTGAAGAGATGGTGAAGCGCCTACTACACCCGTGAGAGAACGTCCCGACTGGGCCCTCCTGAGTGCCCACCTGCAGTAACTGTATTCACTCATCCAGTTAACGCCTACCTATCACCTACTGTGTGCCGGCTGCTGAGGGGTACACTGGATATGTATTTATACTTGAGTGTGTACCTAGGTGTATGTGTGTGTATGCATGTACATGGATAATAATCAAATAATCTTAACAGACTGATATACTACAATGCTCTTTATAGAAGTGGTAAGGAAAAGTCTCTGGAAAAACATTCCATTCACATCAGAGAAATGGCATGTGCTAAGTCTCCAAGGCAAAAATGAGCTTGGAATGTCTGAAGAACAGAAAGAAGGCTGGTGTGGTACAGCAAGGGAGGGGGGCAACCTGCGATGAACTTGGGAGATCAGATAACACAAGGGCCTTGTGGGCCACTGTAAGGAGTTTGGGTTTCATTCTAAGTTCAGGGTGGTGGGTGAAGATTGGGGGATCCATTAATGGACTTAAAGTAGGGACATGTCATGGTCTTACTTCCAGAAAGTTTGTGCTGGCTACTGGGGGTGGGCTGGGGGGTGGGGGTGAATAAATGGGAGGGGATAGAAGTGAAAGCAGAGAGACCAGTCAGGAGAGTGTTTGCCGCTGCAGTCCAGGTGAGAGACCAGAGCAGTTTACATGAGGGGTGTAGTATTGACAATGGAGAGGTACAGTGAAATCAAAAGACATTTTGGTACCAGACTGAAGCGGGGAGAGGAGGAGAATAAAGACATTACAGAAACAAGGATATCCACCTCCCAGGTTTCCAGCTTCAACACTGGATGGAAAGAGGTGCCATATATTGAGATGGATATTTCCAATACCAGCTGGTGTCACTACACTGATATCTTTGAAGCAAGCTTTTTACTTCTGAATCTCAAATCAGAGCCAACCGGGGAGAGGAAACGGGCTTGATTTTGAAAATTCCATAAAGGTCCTTGGTCACACACTAGCCATGACATGTGTCACAAGACCTTTCAAAATTAAAATGTACTGACTTCCCTAGAACAAATGGTTCCCTTACTACCGTCAGGCCGGGGAAATCGGGGAAATGCAGTGGTTTTTATAAATGAAAATGGGGGAAAAATCAGCTCATCAGTATTTCACAGAATGTTTTAGAAATGGAGGTACTTACAAAGTGAACTGAAAATATTTGCTCACAAGAGCAAATGAATACAGACAGCACTTCGAAGCTTAAATGATGAAAAGAATCCATGTGGCTTAAACATGACGAATCGATCCATTTTAAAGCAGAATTATTTACAGTTCACTTATCTGCCAAGACCGAAGGCCACTGCAGCGATTCACATGGACAACAGGAAAACCTCCAAGTGCTGATGAGGTGTTAGGCCAATGTCATTAACAGCGGTGTGAAAATCAGAGACCCAACTCCAAGAAAAAACACAGGAGAGTCTTTCTTTTTGTCTCTTCCTTCTATCATTTATGGATCTAAGTCAAATGATTTCTCCCAGAAATGCAGGCAAGAGGGGTTAATGGAGAAGAAAAGGAAAGCATTGACTGGATATGAAAATGAATTTTAGTTCACAGTAAATGTTTTAAAGAAATCTAAAACAATGACAAAGTCTATTTTCTAGAGGCCCCAAGAGTCAAGGACATGAGTTATGGGAGGTGAGAGGCAAGGAGACTTGCTTAACTAGTAACCACTTGCCGTGAAGTCAACTCTAACTCATGGTGAACCCATGTGTGTCAGAGTAGAACTGTTTTCCATAGAGTTTTCACTGGCTAAGTTTTAGGAAGTAGATTGCCAAGTTTTTCTTCTGAGGTGCCTCTGGGTGAACTGGAATCGCCAATCTTTCGGTTAGCAGCCGAGTGGGTTAACTGCACCATCCAGAGACTTGTTAAGTAATCCTAATCCTTTTCCCATCTACTTCTCTCACTGCTGCTCCTTGGAGCCTGTAGGAGCTTTGACTGGTTCTGTCACTGCCCTGCTTGTCAGACGAGCAGCTTAGGGGAAAGGAAGGAGAGGGGCCCCAAACAACTGGGAGAGTATGAGAGACAGGCGGGGACACAAAAGCAGATGACTCAGGCCACAGTCACTCGCTGTGCACACCAGCTAGGTCTCTGTGTTTCTCCCTGACTTCTCTTGACTAGTTCTGGGCAATTTCCTTAGCATCTCTTTCAGGGGAGGGGGAATGGAAACCTGTCATTACTGCTACCTTTCAGCTTGCTGCATTTGCTACAAAAAAGTTGTTGAAGAGAATGCCTTGCACAGCACCTGATGTCCCCCACGTGAAAACTCCACGAGAAGGTCTTAGTAACTGCAGAAATTTTGTCTCCTTACTGAATATGGCAGGCTTTCTTTGATCTGACAATATTACTAAGTAAATGACGTGGTCTCCTAAATTGCCCAGGCTGCTGGGAAACGCCGAAGAATTCCATAGATCAATCACAGCATCTAACTCAATCTGGGGTCTTTTTTATGGCTCCATATGACTACTTAACTTAGTTTATTGTCATTAAGAGCTGAATGATTTTCATTATGCTTGTACCTGGTTCTATATTACATCTCTGTTTTGTTAACTCTTATGAGTATATGCTCACCAGACCCACGAGGCAAGGGCCTGTACAGATCTGCCCGCATTCTGGTTGCTGTCTGTCTCGCCCCAGTTTCTGTTTCAGTTCGTGCTGTATGCTGGCACTGGGTCTCACATATAGAAGGTACCCAATAATACTTGTTGATGAAACGAATGAATGCATACACGACTATTCTGATTTGTGACAACAGATACTTTTCTGAAAGGAGCAATCAATAAATTGACTATAAGCTCCACGAAGAAAGGCACTGTGACCATCTTATTTATTATAGTATTTCCAGTGCCTCACACTGAATCTGAAACATAGCAGGTTCTCAATATCAGTTTGATGAATAAATGGATGAATAGATAGATCGATGCGTGATTGATGAATGCACAGATGGACAAGTGGACAGATGAATGAATGGATGTATGGACAGATGCATGATGGGTGGATGGACAGATGGACTGATGGAGGAAGGAACAGTTGGGAAATGAACTAATAGAAGAACAGGTGGACAGTGACTTAAAAGCAAGGGTTTGGTGTGATATTTAGTGTTTTAAAGTCTTACACACAAGATCCTTGGGTGTGATGTAGACTCTGAGATTCTCAGGTAAGTAAGTTTCCAGTCAGGACAATTAAGTTGGGCCACGGAATCCGTTTCCCAGAGAGGTCTAAAACCTGACAGCAAATGTGTCTTATTTTTGTCTCTGCCGTTTGGCAGGAAAATCCCTGATGCTATGGAAGCCCAAGTATTAAACTAATAAAATGTTATTAAGATACTGCCATTGTCTTCAATGAGTATCTAAACCACAAATTCAACATTTAAACTAAATCTAGTAGGTGAAATCGCTTATTAAGAGTAAGCCGTGCAGTCTATACAGGAAGGGAAACCAGATAAAAAAGACAAGTCCTTCTGTTCTAGTAAAAACCCAGCTGCTTAATTATTGAAAACATTACCAAAAAAAAAAAAAGGCACGAGGGCAAAAGGAAGCTGTCAGTCACAAAAGGAAGCCAACATTGTCAGGGGCTTCTAAGAAAGAAAGGGAAAACTAAAACATGGTTCCTGGGTTAAGAGACAGTGTACTCATATCACACACCACAACCCAGACACCATCAGCGAGTGTTTAATTACACAAACTATAATTGACCCTGACTCTGGAGCCCTGGTATTCAGCGTCCCCATGGATTCTCTCCAACTCCACCAGAAAAATCCCATCATCATCTGTCTCTCTGGCAGGACGTCATCAAAATTCAAATTGAGAAAAGGAAGTAGCTTTCAATCCACCTGTACAGAGCTCCCACTGATCATAGATGCAGGAATGCTCTACTGGCAAAGCAGGCTTTGGCTGATATTCCCCCAATTTTGCACAGCAGCTGCCAGGGTGTGCCAGCAATGCTGTGAAAACCAGCATCCCTGTCCTGGCACAGAAATCGAGCAAGGACGAGCCCCAAGATGTGGGGGCTTGTTCTTGTCTAACCCAGCCACACATCACTCTCTTAGCTTGTGGTAATTACGAGCCAGCAGACTGTGGGCAAAGCAGTTAAGAGAGCTTTTTTTCCTAGGAATGCAGCCCGAGTAATTGGCTTGCTGCTTGCTAATGACACAGGTTCTACAAAAATAAGCTGTCATGGGGAATTCTTTTAACTGACTTGGTGAATGCAGACTCTATACCTGTTTGATCCCCTTTGAGTTCAGCAGGTAATTCCAAAACACATTTGGGGCCAGAGATGCAAATGAATCTACAGAAATTCTTCTGCGTAGGAATTTTAAATGGGATGTAAAGCAAAAAAGAACACCTTGCTACCTGACGTCATGCTACCTGTGCAAAGACCCTATTTCTCCCCCAACATGGTCCTTGTAAAGACTCCATTCCATGTGGGGCATGTAAAATGAGTCCATGATTAACATGGCATGTCTGTGGAAGGGGAATAAGAGAGGAGGGCTCACACTAATTCACGCTCGTAAGACACAGCTTCCAGGTTTGCTTCTATTTTTCTGAAGGCTGAATGGGTTTCTGTGACCGAGGGCTGGGCACACACGCGTGCACGCGCGCACACACACACACACGCACACGCACAGTGTCGGCAGCTCTGTGGTTGCAGTGTGGTCACCAACCAGCACTTTTCTGCCTGGGCATTAACACACACTGACAAGAGAAGCAACCCTGAAGTCACGTGTCCCAATCCCCACGGCGTTATTGCCGGGTTTTCTCTTTGGGGAACTTAGGAGCAGGGCTTCAGGACGCAGGAAGCTCCCTCTCTCATCTCCTTGATAAAACTTCTGAATCTCCCCGCTCGGCGTGGAGACAGGTGGCAGGAAACCAGCCGCAGTGCCACCAGCTGCGAAGTTTTAAGGTTCTCCTTTCCTGGGTGGCAGAAAGCTGTATATTTTCCCCTCCCCAAAATCTTCTCAGTCACATGGAAACACCCCCGTTATCCTAATGTTAACGAATTGGGAAACCCCTTGCACTGGATCATTTCACAGGCATCCGAGTGCTAGATTTTGAGTTTTTGAGTAGCGTTTCAACGTGCTGTCAGCACCCTGGAGCAGAAGCCCACATCACCAAGCAAAACACCACAGCCTCTAAGCTATTAGCTAACATGTCAACTAGGTGATGCGTCTTCAGGGAAACCAGATTAGAAAGGACAGCAAAACACTGATTTTTTTTTTTTAGGAATCCTATACCTGCAGCATAATGCTGCTAAAGCCAGTAAAACAACAAAGGACGATCCCACAGCAAGGGAATGCCTTATTCTCAGTGCCGAGGCTGTGAACATTGTGCCGCCTGAGCACGGCCACACAGCCGAGGCAGGGAAACTCTTCCTTAAACCCACAGGCTTGTTCTTCTGTAAATAATTCGCCATCCTGTTCACACGAAAGCTCAGGGAGCATCTTCCCAAGTGAACGGCTGGGAACACCAGTTGAGAGCAATGCTACCCGGGAAGAAGGTGGAGCTTTTTTTTTTTCTATTTCCCCTCCTCCCAAAAGAAACAATGGCATTTTTATCAAGTTAAAACAGCTAAGAAACTCATCCATTAGGAGAGTTGAGATGCATTTCTACAGAGAAGATGGTAAACATGCATTTTTTTCCTGGCTCCTGCAGCCTGCCCACAAATCACTACACAGTTACAAAGACAAGCCCAAATACCTTCCATACCAGACAGATCCCCCAGAATTTAATAAAACGAACCTCCGCTCCTGTCTCCCCATCCACTCTCAAACACATTCAGTGAAGTCGAGCCAGACAGCACCCCCTTCCACCTCTCACCCACCCCAACCCCGGAACAAGCACCAAGTAACTGACAAGTCCTTACCGACTTTGGGCTCTTCTTTGCAACAGGCAGTCCTGGAAAAAGGCAACAAGGAGGGGAGGGGGAAGACATCATTAGCATATAAATGTTACCTTTTCCTTAAAGAACAATCCCCAGGTGTTTCACAGCCACCTAGCCATCTGCAGAGTTATGTCCGATTTCTCCCCAGCATTGGAGTTACCAGGCTGTTCATATGGAATCAGAGCAGTGGGAGGAGGAGAGCGAGAGGCAGGAGATCTATCTGCATTAGCTATGCTGACTTGTACTGCAGCAGCCTGGAGGCTGAGAAAACAAATTCACAGACCTCAGCGGCCTGGGAAATTGAACACTTGGACAGAATCTCAAATGCTCTTCTGGATTAAGAGAGTCTCAATCTACAATTAAGTCCAGGATATTCCCTTTCCACACGGTCCACTTGTCAATGCACGCAGACCAACCAGGACAGTGGGAGGGGTATATATTTAGTTTCAAAGGAGTACATGGTTAAAATGGTTTTTCTTCCTTTTTTGCCCTCTTCTTTCTTTATTTTTTTTATCTGCCTTTCAGGAGAGGAAACACCTTCTTTATTTGGATGAGCTGAACGCCAAAACAAAGACAGATGCTCTTTTGCCAGCATAGAAAGATAAAACATGAACACAAATCCAAGTTGGTCTGAGACCCCTCTGGCTGATGGCACACCTCTCCGTGGCTGTCAGTCATCCAGGCAATCTCCTATTCAGCTTGTTGGGAAGGAATGGGGCTTGGATGAGCCCCTCCAGGGTAAAGCATGTAGTATGCCAGTGAAGGAGAGAAATTTCACGGAGCTGAGAAGAAAAGATAATCATGGAGAAAGAGAAAGGCGGAGGGAACGAAGGTGGTCATGGAACCTAGCTGGCTCTTGCGAGGGCCCGTACTCGGTGGAGGACTGGATATGGAAGGGACGTGCAGCTTCTCACTTCCAGGAGCACTAGCAGCAATCAGAGGAAGCCTTCCAGGAATCTACGACCAGGGAGTGTAGGGAAGGGAGGCTGGAAAGGGAAATAAAACACACATCCGTGTTTCTAAAGTAATAGTTTCGGGTTTTTTTTGTTTGAGAAGGGGTTAGAATGCAACAGTGCAGATTCCATCTGTATAAAGCACAAGAGGTATACTTGGGATCTGATTACTTTTGCACTGGCAATGTCCACCTCTTTTAGAAAATGATGCTCAAGTGGCATGATGATATCAACTCTTTTGGAAGTGACCTGAGAAACCAGGAGCCATGCTCAGCTCAGTACCAGTAACCAAGTGAGCGAGGAAGAAGAGGACCGAGGAAGGAGGGAGCCACCAGATGATCACTAATCTCCCCACTGCAAGTGAGGCATGATGAGAATGACTCATCCTAAAAGGCATCTGGGGGCACGCTTCCGGCAGGGCCCATCACATCACCAAAATGAGGTCACTAAGGTCGGGCAGAGTGGCACTCAGACTTCAGTGTGCACAGCGAATGCGTGGCTACTTGTTAAAAATGGAGAATCCCAAGCCCCACCCTCAGAGGCCCAAGGGATTCTGATGCAGGGGGTCTAATGACCATACTGAAGGAAACTCTGATATGTACACAGTACAGAGCGTTACTTCTCTCTCAAGGAAACTACGACATATATACAGTACAGAGCGTTACTTCTCTCTCAAGGAAACTATGACATATATACAGTACAGAGCATTACTTCTCTCTCATGTCTGGCAAACTCCAACAGGCAACCTTCAGCAAGTTGCTTCAGAGCCCCCTATGCCTCAGTAGGAGCCCTGGTGGCTCAGTGGTTAAGAGCTCGCCTAGTAACGAAAAGGTCAGCAGTTCGAATCCACCAGTCGCTCCTTGGAAACTCTCTGGGGCAGTTCTACCCTGTCCTATAGGGTCGCTATGAGTTGGAATCAACTTCACAGCAGTGGGTTTGGTTTTGGGTCCATGCCTCAGTTCCTTCATTTATGATATAATAAGGCTCACTTCCTAAGATTTTTAGGACAGTTAAACAAGACAAAATGTTTAAAAGCCTTGCACCTGTCACCTGCAGGCACTCAAATGTCCACCCCTTTCACCTTCCTTTGCTAATTAATTCAGATCATTTAGAAAGGAAACAGCTACGGTTATCTTGCTCCAACTAGAAAAAATCATTTGCTAAGTTTATTAAAATATAAAAAAGACTGTAGGAAATTTTTCCGATGGATAAGAATAAGTGATCTACCTTGGAGATGTCATTATTCTTAACAAATAATTGTTAGGTGTTTTTATTTGTTCATTAATACAATTACCTTAAGGAATTTTATCAAGTTATATTAGTGTGGGATCACTGTACAACACTTGAGAATTACATAATACTACATCTTTAAATTCAGATTTTTCCCTAATTATTGCAGAACTTCTTAGTTCATTTGAATATATAAGTTTCACCCAATTTAGTTTTATTGGCCATGACTGTGCCCAAGATCCTGATGACCTACAAAAATCTGGAAACAATGCCCAACTAGGTAGGAGTCAGGGAAAATGGTTTCAGTCCACACTTTGCTACTAATCACTTGTATTCCTCTGGGCCAGTCTTAAACTTCCTGTCTCCTAGGATTTTCACATATAAGAAAAACGGCACTTGTCATTGTCTCTCACAGAGAAAACACTTGCACACACATTCACCGCCACACACACAAGGATGTTCACGGCAGCATTGTTGGTATACAGCAAACTGGAAACCACTGGAAAAAAGCTGCGGGATAGCCAACCTAGAGAGCAGTCTGCAGAGGTTAAAAGGAATGAGCTATCCCTAGGGAGAACACCACCGATGTCCTCCAAAGCATCATGCTGAGTGAGAACGGTGTGCCACGCCATGGCAGGTACAGTAAGATACAGGTGTCAAACACACTCAAACACAGAGACTTTTCCTTCCGTGTATATGAACCTACCAAACAGAAAACAGATGACGGGGCTGGGGGTCGGGGCACAGATTGGGGAGGCTAGCTTAAGAAGACTTTAGCCTTATCTAGAATTCCTTTTAACGAAGATCATATTCACATCTCACTAAGGCAAAAAAATACTAATTTAAACATAAGCATTAATTAATTAACAGTCCTTCCACTGTTAACTGTACAAAACTAACCAGTCTGAAGAACATGGGGGTAACTAACTATGCCATCTATGTTGTTTCCTCTGAGGAAGCAGTCCATGGAATATTCCAAAATATCGCAGCTGAATCAACACAACAAGCTATATTGTACAACAAAGAATTTGTTCCTCTTTGTTACCTAGTTGCCTAAAACCTTAGTTTCAAAACCCAAACCAAACCAAACCAGCTGCTATCGAGTCGATTCCGACACCTAGCGACCCCATGGGACAGAGGAGAACTGCCCCAGAACGTTTCCAAGGCTGTAATCTTTACGGAAGGAGAACGTCACGCCTTTCTCCCGAGGAGCAGCTGGTGGGTTCAAACCGCCAACCTTCAGGTTAGCAGTCGAGCACTTAACCACTGCACCACCAGGGCTCCTCTAATTTTAAAAAGCCACACCTTTAACAGGAGCCAAAAAAAGACTTGTGACCACAAATTATTATTTAAATAGTCAAAATCAAGAGACATCATTTGATTGCTTTTAAAAAAAATCAAAGATTTGTTTTAGGTCCAGATGGTCATTAAATCTTAAAATCTAATAAATATGAATGCTAGAACAAACCTCCATTTTACAATTTATAATTTATCTTAGCCAAAACTATTCAGAGGGATTGAAAACAGCTGGTAGACCTAATGGAAAACACTTGAAAGGTCATGGTTTGGCAGAATTCTCCAAGACCCAGAAATCACAGGACACAGCTCTTGTCCAGCTACAGTTGATGGCAGACCACCCGGTGCAGGATGTGTTACGAGAGTCAGCAGTGCCCACACTGTGTGGCATGTCTGTGGTTCTCCACAGCACAAATGCTCACTCGGAGCACCCTGTGGCAGCAGGAAGCTTGCGTTGTGTAAACTGTGCCACTTATTGCGTACGAGGCACACGGGCGGAATCAGCACCTGTCCATTAAGACGTTAAGGCTCATCTGATCCATTCAGAGCAAGGAAGGGGAGTGTTCAGACGAGGCAGAAGAAAGAGTTCATAGATGGCACCATTTGCTCTTAGAACCTAGAAGGCAGCAAATGCTACTTCAAAGAGATCCCAGAAAACTTTTATGGGGAAGTGCATCTTCAAAGTGCCAGTCTAAGTGTAATCAACAGGGGTGAGAAAAGCTTGAGACCCAAATCTCTGAAGTTCCCCATGGAAAAGGTGACCCTTCAGAGGAAACAAATGGCAAATTCCCTTCTACTGGCTGAAACCTAACCAGTTAACTTGAGGACGAAGAACCTCTTTCCATTTAAGTATCAAGGCTATAAACTATCTTAGTAACATCTTCTCATGGAACTAAATGGCAGAATGTTATTTTTGGCAAAATCTGCACACAATTTATATGAAAAAAGTCAAAATATAATAGAATACAGGTACATTTGGAAAGAAAGACTAGAAGGTAATATACCAAAAACAGTGTTTTCTTTGGCTGGTAAGACCGTGGGTGACTCTATTATCTATTTTAGTATTTTCTACAACAAGATAAGCTTTACTTATTTATAAATACACACATACATATACACACAGAGACCACAATAAACGAAGTCTAAACTGCTTTTCTAAGTAAGACGAATGTAGCAAATTTCAGAACCTTTTATTGCACTTTCAAATTTCCAGAGCCCTCACCAACCTCTACATTTGCTAAGAGTTGCTTTTTTCTTCCCAAATTGAGTGTATACGTGTAGACTCCTTAAGCACCCTATTGAGAGTAAGACCTGTGTTTGTCCTCCGAACTAAGTGGAAATAGAGAAGGAGTAGCATAGCTCAGCTAGGCTATCAGGGAAGCCAGACAGAAGCCAAGCACTGCATTTCAGCACTGAGATGAATAAAACCTGAGTTGCTGGGAAACAGATTGGAGTTTTCTGGACCAAATATCCTCCAGGTGTAAAGGAAGTGGGAATGCCAACCGAACTTATTAACTGAAAGAATCAATAAAAAT